CATATATTGTGCGAGGGCCTGCGGCCTGCACTGAGGGGGGATCACAGTAACAAGACATGGATGAAGATAGGGCTAGCCGGCTAGCCTTGAGATCACCAGGTAACATCAGCACCAGTTTGTTGAAACACCCAATCAAACTGGGTCATCGATTTGCACCTTGGATATGCCATGACTTAGCCACCCGATTGCAACGCATTTTTCTGGTATTCACGAATTATTGACTAATCATGCTTGCTAGGAGATGTTGATCTAAGGGAATGCTTAAATGTTGCAGGATTTATATACCCTCCAAAAACGATATTTTCCTATATTTCTTTTCGATATGTTTCGACACATTTCCATGAATTTCCCATGAAATTCTCCATATTGTCTGAAATTGTCCAACGATTTCCTATGGTTTTCCATGAATTTTCCATTAAACGAATGTTTTCCTATGGTTTGCCAACGGTTTCCCATGAAATTTCTACACCTCCATGGCCAAGGATGCAACTGGCAGATCCAAGACGGCCAGGGTGCACTCACTGGTCACTTGATACCTAACAAACATTGTGGTTTTGTTTTATATGGTTTTTATATGGGTTTTCTGTGGCTGTATAGCCCAAAAACAATTGTTTTATATGGTTTTATATGGTTTTAGATGTTTCTTTTGTGGGATTTAGAACCAACAAACATGTGGTTTTATTGAGTTATTAAATCGTTTTGTTGGGAAACTGATGATCAAACATGTGATTTGGGATGGCACTATTTTCAGGCAAACCCAAATCTTGTAAGAACAGGCGATTTTGTATGAACTGTTGAAAGAAAATGGTTTATTCACCTTGTTGAGAGCCAAAAAATCGACGACCTCGTAGGATTTGGGAACTGTGAACATCTTTGAACGGAGTGCTGAGCTATGGTTGCATCCATATTCCCCCAAAATATAGAATTGCGTTTCCCCACCACGTGATAGGCAGACGAAATTCCTGATGGTTACATTCCAGTCGGGCACTGGGAAACCCACCAAAGTTGTAAACATGTGCTGGGTTCGGATTGCCATGTTTGATGCCAGAGTGCACTTGGTGGTTGAAGAGTGGAAATCATCTTACCTGGGAGTAGGTTTCCTGCGGTAGTTGTTGGCATTTTTGGTTGAACCAGTTAAAACCACCACGCAAGGACCCCTTCCCAATTCACGGAGAAGTGGTGGTTGTCCCGCAATTAGATGGTCAGGTGGTCGGGCGCCACATGGGCGTTTTGAACTTTGCGTTTTGAGCATCTCTCGACAGGGTTACTTCCACTCATTTTAGGTAAATCATTGGCAGGGGAATTGAGTATTTTCTATATTTGACCTCTTTATTTGCCCAGTCCAAAAATCTATAAACATCTGGGGTGTTTGGGAGCAACCCTGCCAGAAGGCACATTCCTATTTCATCCTATTTCAGGGTCTTACCCTCTGCTGGTTGAACACTGTTTATATAACATAGACAACTACCCATTTCTAATTAATTAATGTAGGTAAGACAATGTCATACACCATCCCCCAGTCATCACAATGTTTACAGGTGGGATGTTTACCATTCCCAAAAGGGTGGTAAAAATGGCATTGTTTTACCCACATCAATCCCAATAATAGATTAATAGTTAATAGTTGGTCATAACCCACTATGGTCCCTTTTAAATCCCATTTAAATCCCAATTTAAATCCCTTTTAAATCCCATTTAAATCCCATTTAAATCCCATTTATATAAATCTCATTTAAATCCCAATTTAAATCCCATTTAAATCCCTTTTAAATCCCATTTAAATCCCATTTAAATCCCATTTAAATCTCATTTAAATCCCAATTTAAATCCCTTTTAAATCCCATTAAAATCCCTTTTAAATCCCATTTAAATCCCATTTAAATCCCATTTAAATCTCATTTAAATCCCAATTTAAATCCCTTTTAAATCCCATTTAAATCCCATTTAAATCCCATTTAAATCTCATTTAAATCCCAATTTAAATCCCTTTTAAATCCCATTTAAATCCCATTTAAATCCAATTTAAATCTCATTTAAATCCCAATTTAAATCCCATGGAAAACCATCATTTTCCCATAAATCCCAGGTGATGCCACCTACCGCTTGTCAGTGTATGTGGTGGATCCTTTGGCATGTTCTTCAGTGGAGTTTCGCGACTGTACCTCCAGGTGCGCCAGGGATGATGGGGACTCCTGGGGGACCGATAGCTGACATGGGAAGTTGACGACACCGGGAAGTGTCAAAGGCAGGTCAAAGGTATACCGGTTGTCCATTTAGCCAGGTGGGTTGACAGGGTCTGGGTAAATTTCATCACGACCTCACTGTTCTCCCGAACCCTGGAATCATGGTTAGGATTCGGGGAATCATCCCCTTTTCTGGCCCAACAATTCAGGTTAGTGAAATATTATACTTTACCCAGACAGGGTTGAACCCTTAGAATCCTAAAACTACAGGGTTGACATGGGAAGTTTTAGGCTTCAGGTGCCGCTTGGAGAGCCCATTCCCATGAGATCAGGGGGTTGAAGCTGAGGGTCCTGGTTGAGAGATGATGTCCTAATGAGATCAAACTGAGGGTCCAAATTTATACCCAGTCCAAGACCCCCAAAAAAACAAGGCAACTTTCTTGAACGCCATGATTTTTGACCGATCCTCTATATAAACCCCTGACTACTTGAGTAGCTTATCTCTCAAGAGTGATAGAAGCTGAGCCCATTGCTGCCCCAACATCTATGTCCAAAGTATGTCCAAACTCATCCAATCAAAATCAACCAGCAGCTTGACATTCATCCCGCGTTGATACTGTATGGGTTTCCCAAAATCCCTGGTTATATACATAATCATATCTTTGTATCTAATTACACCCGCCAGTACCAGGCCATGTTTGGTGGTATACCCCATGTTTTCGCAAATTGTTGGTCATATATCCGATTCTATCCCATGTCAAATTCATACCCATCTGCATCACCGCCATTCGACTGGACCATACTGTACAGGTCCACTGGAGCGTGTTCGGATGCTGGAATAACTGCAGCCAAAGTCACAAGCACAGTACTTTGGTCAGGAAAAAACGGGGAGGGGGCATGAGGCATGGGGCCCTCTCTGGAATTTAAACAACCTCCAGCATTGGGAATAGAATATGAACATGCAGATACAGGGAATCATCGGAATATGTTTTGGATAATTAGTTGGATAATTACCCAAAGATGTGGATCCTCCCCCAAACAATAGATACAATAGTCATAGCAGTTTCAATATCTGCTACTTTCAGAAACACATCTCTAGATGGGGATGTCATGGGGATGTACAACAACATCCCGATTTAGAGGCACAATATTTTCTGGCAAACCGTTGGCAAAGGGGTGCTTGACGAAGAAAACCATGGACATTGGTTAAACGAGTTGGACATGTGGAAATGATATGAAATTGTGAGGTCAAGATCATCTAGCCTCTGGTAATTTAACATAGCTATTGAAAATGGTCATAGAAATAGTTGATTTGTCCATTAAAAATGGTGATTTTCCATAGTTATGGGACAGTTTACCGGAGGGTACAATTTACATCATCGGGTCATCTTGTTTCTCCCCATGAGGTCCTTACATGGGGTGCCTAAACTGTGGCTCATCCGTTCTTGACTCGAGTTGCACATGGTTGACGGGAACCTCCCAGGTTGGTTTGTTGGTTAAATCCTCCCATTCTGCCCAGAACCAGGATTCTTATGGTTACCCTTGGGTAAACTAACATAACTATGGAAAATCAATGAACATCACCGTTTTTAATGGATACGGTAAATCAACTAATTATTTCTATGACCATTTTCAATAGCTATGTTAAATTACCAGAGGGTAACATTAGTTAACACGTGAATGGAAAAGATGAATTATCGTACTAGAAACGATGGCTTTCCAGCAAACAACACTCACCAAGAAGATTCAATCCATTCGGCCATGGTTTCTGGTCAAAAAGACGGAATGAACAACCGTCAGCCAATCCATTTAGCTTCATTTCGCCATGACTTGGCTTGTTCTGAACATAGGGTACCTTTAAATTTGATCATTGATGATCATTGATAAAAAATGTTTGGCACCCCCGTAATCATCAACTTTATTTCCGGATTTTCCCTGAAATAAACCACCCATTATCCATTATAAACCACTATAAACCAACACCCACCAAAAAAACATCATTTTCTGGTGGGATTTATGGGAAAATGGTGGTCTAATGGGATTTAAATGGGATTTAAATGGATTCCAATGGAAAATAACTTATAAGTATGGTTTTTATGTTTTTTTTACTGGGAAAATCACCTATAAACCATATTTATAATATTTTCTGGTGAGATTTAGGGGAAAATGGTGGTTTAATGGCATTTAAATGGGATTTAAATGGCACCATAGTGGGTTTTAACCAACTATTAACTATTATTGGGATGTGGGTAAAACAATGCCATTTTTACCACCCACATAGTTTATAGCACCTATCAAAATGGTGATGACTGGGGAATGGTGTGCGACATTTTTTCAGCCACATTACCACCATTTTCAGATCCACGCACCTGGAATTTTCATCCCGTGGAAGCTAGCGTAACGTCGGAAAGTCCCCAGTTATCATGATTTACCTATGGTTATCCCATGTGAGCTGTTGGAAATTATAGCCTGGTTGATGGGCTAACACAGGGACTGATACTACTGAACTACTGGTACTCAATATATATATATATAATATTTATATTGGGGATTATGATTAGCCATAGTATGGAAACCGTTTTCAACCAACTAGTGCAATGAGATGCGATGAAATTGGATAATATAGCGGCTATTTTTAATGGTTCATAGAAATATGGCATACACTATAACTAATGGCGATCCTACCCTACGTAGTTGATTTGGGCTTTAGAACATATTTGGTTGGTAAATCCCATATTTAAAAGAAAAAACCAACCGGTATCCCCGGTGATTTTTCTCCACCAGGGCGAAGAATCTCCTCAGGTCACGACCGAGAATGGCTACCAGGTGCTACATCTGCAGTCCCCCAGGTTGGAGGTCTTGCAGCGTCTCAGCTGCGAAGATGTGAAGCCGTGAAGCTTGGGTGGAGATGATGGAGTTGTTTAAAGATACCCTCTGGAAAACTGTCCCATAGCTATGGAAAATGGCCCATTTATAGATGGTTTACCTATTAAAAATGGTGATTTTCTATAGCTATGTTAGTTTACCGGAGGGTATGTTTGGGATGTTAATACACTTGAATTGAATATGTTCATGGATTTGTTGGGATGTTTTTGTGACTGGGATGTTAATGTTGATGAGATATTAATGGGATAATCCCAACTCCCGATATTAAATCATGGATATCCCAAACATTAAATATGTAGCTATAGAGAGAGAGAGATATATATATATATATACATACATATATATTATATATATATATATAAACACATTTTTTTTTAAAACAAAATCTGTGTAACGAATTTCGCCCTGCCATGATTCACCAGCTGGCGCCATGATTTGCCCAGGTTTCACCTCCACCGATCCTTGATCTTTCACCCCTGCAATTGCACCAGCCGCTTGGCCCGGCGCTTGGAACTTCCGGAGAGGAACCCAACCGGTTTTGTTTCGGGCCGGCCGACATAGCAGTGGCCGGAAACTGTAGAAATTTAGTACTTAAATTGTAGAAATTGTACACTTGGTTGGGAATTTCTTGGGTTTGGTGACTTCGGTGACTTGGTGTTTTTTTTTTGGTTCACCGGCAGGGAAGATGATCACCAATCACCATGTGATCATATTGTTGGACGAGGTGTCAATCTTGCAGTGATTATCTGAGGGGGCCAGTACAGCTATATATTCCATTGACAAACGCGGGTACGAGCTGTAACTCGGGGGACAGCCACCAAGTAGGGGGCGATACTTTTCCCCAACATGACACATTTTTTTTTTCGCAGAAGGTCTGTCTACATGGTATCAGAATCGCTATTCATGTGCCAGAGGGTTTTGGATGGAATGATTCTGATTATGAGCTGCATCAGATGGCATGAGGACCTGCGCTTGAGGTTTGCGTGGGCCACACACGATCAAATGCCTGCTGTTTCTGGCCCCCAACTGACAGAAACCTAGCATCAAACGCTCCATTCAGGTCCCAATACACATGTTTGTCTGGTGAGGTAGCTCCCATTCAGGAATCCTCCGTTCCGCAAGCATGGCCGCTGCCAAATCTCTAGGTTTGATTGCCCTGTTTGAACATCAGTGGGTATAGCTTTCGTGGCCACTAGACGCAAGTATGTGAAAACCATTGAGGGTACCTGACCAGGATTTGATGGAGTGATTCGTCCACTAGGGCACCCAGTAAATCCATACAAATCAATGAACATGAGTGAACATCAAAGGAACATCCATGAACATCACAGAAACTAAGCAACCTCATGATCTTGATTTGGTTTACCTGCCCTATGCCCTGAAATCCACTGTTTGACCTAGGCATGGAGAGATTCGTCTGTAACCAGACTATGTTTGTATCGATGGAGCGCCGGAACCGCGTCATCGACGCTGCCGTGCTACGCGATGTGGCCACCGCGGTGTATCCCAACGTCTCGGTCCCGGTCTCGGGGAACGACTCGGAGCAGATCTTGCCGCTGGGGCCGTTGTGGATAGCAATCCCCCAAAAAGATTCCTAGTTGGTGGTTTGGAACATGAAGTTTATTTTTCCAATTTTTCCATTCAGTTGGGAATTTCATCATCCCAACTGACGAACGCCATCATTTTTCAGAGGGGTAGGTTGATACCACCAACCAGTATTTGTAAGGGGATGGCAACCAGAAATCCAAATAAATCAACTCAGGCATACTCACCTGGTCCTAAAGGGTCTTTCTGCCACAAAGGGTACCTGGGAAAAACCCGTGGTATGTCACATTCCTAGTGAACCAACCATTCTTATCACACTTAAGAAAAAGCCAGTTCCAGGATGTATATTATATATAATTATATATATATATACATATTTAATTATATATATATATATATGCATGCATAATTTGTGCATTATTGTATGTAATTCTGCGGAAATGTACATATGTATATTTACAAGAGCGGGTGTGCTAGTCTCGCCTAACTAACCAAGCCTACTTACCAATATTACACTTGCTGGTTACAGTTTGTCATTAACATGCGCATACACATGTAGATATATGGAGGTTTCTTAAAATAAGGGTACCCCTAAATCATCAATTATCTTCGGATTTTCCATTATAAACCATCCATTTTGGGATTTCCCCATTTATGGAACCCCATATAACACATATTTGTATATATATATATATATATCACATCACCTTATTCAGTCTCAGAATCGGTTGAAGAGAAAATCTGCAGGAACCAATGAGCTACACTCAGATGTATGGTTATGGAATATTAAAGGATGTTCTATCCCTCAACATTAGAACAGGATGTACCTGCTTTATTTATGTTTCATGATTATTCCCCAAACATCTGAAACTTACTATGATTACGATTCTGCTTGGTGGTTTCAAATGTTTTTGAAGCCATGTATGGGATGCTGATCTCTAGTGAAACATATATTTTTTTTTGGGTTGAAACCAACCACATCAACCACCAACCAGTATGAATCCTCTAGGTAATCTAGTTAAGATAGACAACTCAGAATAATTGCTCCAAATCATCCAGTTCTAGTGTTTTTTCTTCCGGCATTTCCGGCATCGCAAAACGCCCCAGCATCCCAGGATGGTGCCGGTGTCACAGGGCAGCCTGGGCCGCGAGGATATGGCTGAAGCCACCTGCGGCTTCAGCGTGGTGTCGCCCTTGAGCATCTTCGTGGCTTTAAGGGGACCACCCTTGAAGTTGGAGGAGGACAGCGAGCAAAAAATCCAAAAACCATGGCAGGAAATATCCATATTTAGTAAGTAACGATATTGGCTATTGTATATCGTTACATATCTTATTTTACTTAAAATAGAGTTATCTTTTTTCGTTCGACATTTTTTTTTACAGTTCTTCAACTTAATAATAAGCTAATTGTATCTATTGTTAGTTCATTATATATGTTCAAATGATACCACTACGTTAACATTATATACATATGATATGTATATAATATATATATATATATGTGTGTGTGTGTTCTATTGGATTGTCGTTTGGAGTGTGCTTGGAGGACTTGGGACACACTAGGGACAGGATATTTGGCAGTATATAGCCTCATTTCTTTCGGAGGCAATGGGCTTAGACCACCTGTTTATTTTTTATGTAACCCTTCCACAAGATTGCACAAAGTGATGCTATGCAAGCATTTCCGCTTTATTTTTGGGTGAATCTAAATGGGGTGAGGAGAAAAGTGAGGTTTACCATCGTTTACCCTCTTGTAAGCTAACATAGATGTGGAAAACCCACCCCAAATGTATCGACATTTGGGCATGAAGCCCTTGAATCTCGGCCAGGGAATCTCTCAAGGTTTTTCACGGGGATCCAACCTCGGCGAAGCGTGGCGAAGCGCCGAAGCTGTCCCATTCAACCAGTGACACCAGTGATGGACATCCAGAAAATTTTCAGCCAAAATACCCGGAAATCGTAAACCTTTGCTAGTTATGCTCATTTATGCTTGTTTTATCCGTTTCATCCTCATTTTTGCCGGCCATCTCATACTTTTTGCTCGAAGTTTGACAACTCCCGAATTTTTACACCCTCTAAATTTATCATAGAACCCTTAAATAGGGCTATGTCATGGCCATGTCAAGTCGTAGAATCGTTTGTGACCCACCTTTTTCATTTTCCATGCCATGATACGACTTTAAAGTGGGTTGGTGTGTCCCCAAACGTCGAATCTTTTCCGAAGACTTCGCCTTGGAGCGGAAAAATCTCCAGGATGGATCGCTGTACTTGGCACAGCGGCTCTACCTGGAGGGCCACGTGCCGGGGCCCTTTTGGTTCACCCTGGGAGCCGAGAACAGCAGCATCAGCGCTGAGGGCCCCGGGATTTTCTCCAATGGCACCAAGAGCTATTTGCAGCTGAAGGTCAGGGTGAAGTGATGGGGGTTGAAGGAATAACATGGAATAACATTCCAATGAAGAGAGAGGATAAACTCGTGTTGGCACACACACACACATATACAGTCATATTCGGGATTATTTGGGCAGAACGAGTTTAGGTAGGATTGCGACCGGGATCTGGAGCCCATTTCTACAGAGTAAGAAAGAGAGAGAGAGAGAGAGAGAATGTGTTTTTTTTCAGTGCGGTTGATCATCTTTTCACTGGGAAACCAACATAACTTTGCTAGGTAGGATGAGTCAATAAGTACTTGGGATCAAGATGTCTGCGCATCTCTCTCTCTCTCTCTCTTCATATATATATATATATATGTATTCATATATATATATATATACACACGCACACACAAACAGACACTCACACATAATCACACATATTACTACATAGAATGCGTAGGTAGGTAGGATGGTGGCTCACCAAGTAAACAATGGCCGGAGGGTGTGTGTGCTCTACAACCACGGTATAACCCAGGTAAATATATGGACATACATATATATATATATATTAATATATATATATGTAAATTTGAATCTCCCCAGTCTTGCGGTATAAACTTTCCTAGCAAAGCTACCATGGAGGTCGACGTCGCCGTGTTAGGTGAACTCTATCGATGAGCTCCTGGCCCTGCTGGGCATTATGGAGGTGCAGCTCCGAGCACCGCAGGACTTCTGGGGCACCGACAGCCTCTACGTCACTTTGGCCGAAGCTGTTAAAGAAAAGGGGTTCGAATCATCAAATATGCTGTTTTTCAATGGATTGGTTTAAGGGAAAATTTACAGGAAACCCCCATATTTAATGGGAAAATCTATGGTTTCCTGTAGATTTTCCCTTAAACCAATCCATTGAGTTTTGATGGGTTTTAAGTATTAATACCGGGTTCTTCAAAAAAAAACGGCCATCCCAATGAAGTACCACACCACAGAGGTTATGTCCCCCCCGTCCCAAGAAATTCAATGTTGTCTTCGGAATTTTGTGTTTGGCGGCCTTCAAAAAAAAAACAGCCATTTCTGTTGATGATGCTCGGCACTTCCGATCACAACATTGAAGTTGGGGGTTGCGGGGGTAAAGCAAGGTATCTCTGTGGTTTCCTGTGGATGGCTGTTTTTTTTGAAGGACCTGGTATGTTGGATATTATGGGAATGTAGTTGAGAAATGATGGTGATTGATGGTTGGTTGGTTATATTATCAGGGTTGGTAACCTACCTGGTTTTATGGGGGATCGTGATGACCAACAATACGAAAACCTATGAAAACCAGTGCAATCTGATGGGGATAGGTGGTTCACCCGGGGAACCTGGGCCTACTTACCCTGCTTTTTTACTGGGCTAAAAAACATGATTGATTCATCATATTCATCGGGGCCCTGGGGCCTCCCGGTTCTGCTGATGTTACCCCATCAAAAAATATCATGTTCACCAATTTTCACCAATAAACAAAAGTGTTGGCCCAGTTACAAGCCAACATATCTACATGAAGGGCTCCCAAAAAAGACCAGCAAGGTGGTTTAGTTCGCTCGAACAACAGGTGTAGCAGATATATACCCTCTGGTAAACTAACATAACTATGGAAAATCACAATTTTCAATGCGAAAATCCACTATAAATGGCCATTTTCAATAGCTATGTTAAATTACCAGCGGGTAGCTGGATGGGTACTAAACGAAATTGGAACTGGGGCCACTTTGGGGCATGGCAATCTTCTGATCCTTGGATGAATTTGGTCATCACTAGCTGCCTAGCTTCCTATACTGCAGGATGGGGCCCCCAAGGTAGCGTTCAGTTGCCTTATAAGTGGCTTTACAACAGTTCATGGTAGATATAACTATAGTTAATGGGGGTGATAAGGGTTTATAAACCAACTTATAACTGAGGGCCCCATCCTGTATCCTATACCTATTTATTAGCTTCAGAGTGTTCTTATGTTCTTTTCCAGCTTGGCCTCCTCTCAAGGACCCCTTTTTGGTGCCCTTCGCCCAAACTGCATTTCCCACTTGTGAAAGATCACTTTTGGGTGAACTAATGTAGTCGTAACACTAGTAACTATAGACCCTGGTCAATATCACCTGAATAGCATCACTGTTGGGCAACTATAGAAAAGTGTATAAACCATTATAAACCATTCCGGGAAACAAGTTATTCAATGGACCCTGCGAGAGGTCAGTGTGCGATCTGCTCTGGAGCCAGCAAACGCCTCGAATGTGGCGGGGGTTTCCCTCACCTTGGAGCAGAACTACTCGATGCTGGTGGAAGCTTGGCTTCGGCTGGAATGGCAACCAAAACTGACCGTTTTTCATCGTTTATGACCAGACATGCTGAGCAAACAAGAATTGCTGATTGGTGGTTTGGAACATGTTTTATTTTCCCCAATAGTTGGGATGATGATCCAATCTGACGAACTCATATTTTTCAGGGGGTGGCTCAACCACCAAGAAGATTGGATTGATAATTACCTTGTGTTATCCCCCAGTCACCGCAAGTCCAGTCAACAAGATCTTCACATGTTTGCGCCTATGAACCTGCACTATCGTTTGTTACTGGGAGGCCCAGTACGTATTTGTCAAATTCGCGGTTAGCCTTGCTTCTGACATCTCACGTTGGTTTGTCAATGTCCTATTCTTTGCTGCGTTGGTCAAGGTTTCTTTGGTTTCTGTGCAAAATCATGTGAATTTGTCCAGTTCCTTCCAAAGCCCATCTCATCCACATACCCATCTTCCTGATCAAGGCTTTAATTTTTGCCAGTACCCCCATCATTTCACACATTACCCCATGAGATCCAACATTGCTCCTTCCTAAAAACAGTGGACAGAGCTATGAATGAGTATCCATATGGCCTATGAATTGGGGGGCCAAGGAGCTACAAATTGAGTTTCTCAACCGCATGATAGCAAGCATAGCAAGCACCACATGTTCCTATTCTCCAATTATGCTCCGAAACCTGATGTGAGACATGAGTAGAATTGAGGTTGTTTTTAAAAGCATAGCCGTTTTTTTTTTGATATCACGACGATTCCAAGATTTTGGGTCAGGTCTGCACGGTCTGCACTGAGGAAGTGCTTCCTGCCGCCGATAAGCCCCAGATCACAGTCCAACACGGTGGTGCAGAGGTGGCACAAGCAGGATCACCTCATCACATCAATGCAACTGGCTTCATGGAGTCCAGGATAGTTCGATGATATTGGCCAACCATATTTCCAGGTTTCCCACGACTTTCTATTTGGCAGTTTTCATGGGGGAAGTATCAGGCAACTGGGAGAGGCCTATAGAGCAACCCCCAAAAATATGCCGAAACGATCCGAAAAATTGTTTCCAGGATGTGAAAACGATGATATTTACCTCATATTTTAAGGTTGCCCATGCTGTAGCACTTTTTTAAAATCTCTTTTGAGGTTGCTATTGTTGGATAGTTTGGGCAGCGGGGGAACTGCGTGGAGCAACACATCTGAGATGAAATGAGTATCAGCTTGTCTAACTTAACCGTGGAATTTTCTAATTTGATTCACTTCAACCCAATAACATAACTTAGTAATACTTAGTAATACTATGTAATAATTACTTCATTTAAGATTCGTATCTTGAAGTATTAGCGTTGTCTTTGCCGCATTTCCCAGGCTCATGGGCTTGAAACTACATCTAGTCAGCAATTCTCCAATTGGATCTCCATAGTTTCACGACTTTTCCTCGCCATCTGCCCCCAAGGCGAGTATCGCCTATGTTGACTTTGGTTCCGAGGACAAACCCTCCGCAGTTTTGAAAAGCAATGTGGGATAACTGTTTATGGCTTATGGAAATGAATCCAAATACCCTGTTGGACATGTTTGTGGGATACTGTTGAATAATTATTGGAAGATCACTTTTTTAATGGTTTTGTCTGACGATAGTGACGATAGCTGCTTGCTAGTCAGAGGTTAGGAAGGAGCTGTGAAAGGAGCTATGGATATCCATATCTATCCTCCGTATTCCCTATGAAACTGGGAGTCAGTTGGTGCTACTAGTTGAGTTTCTCAACTACATGATGGATAGGTATGTACGGTATGCCTACCAAACGGATCCAAATGAATCCAAATGAGAATTTCGGGAAAATGTCATGTAACCAACCGGTGGATTTATAAATTTCGGGCCACCCTGCTGGTTTCCCAAGGCGACAGGATTGTTTTCCCTATCTGCAAAGCGGCTAAATAAAAAACCCACAAGATTAAAATATATGGGAAGCTTGGGATTTAGCTGGACTAGTTGGGCTCAACAATACCTGGAAAGCCCAACCCCAAATCAATGCAAATCGTACATTAGAGATGTGGAAGCCACATCTGCCCCCAAAAATCCCATGAAAGGAGTCCAAATGATTGGCCATCGGAGTCCAGGCACTTGAACAATAAAAAATATTCACAGAATTAGTGTAGCTGAGTAGCTGGCACATGAAACTGAATCTGAAACAAATAATATGGACATGAACAAAAAAAATAGGTGGACACAAGTATACTATGGCCTTTGAATGTTGATTTAACATATATTTAACATATTTTTTTGATCATCCGTTGGTATCTTTGTACCAACCCCCATCATGGTTTGCGCAACAGGACTTCGCGCGGGTGCACGTCCGGGCGCCCTTTGGCAGCCTGAGCTTTCCAGAGCTCGACATTTGGCGAAACTATCAGCGCTTCAATCCAAAGTCGAACCTATCCTCTGGTAAACTGTCCCATAACGATGGCAAATTCACCATTTTTATCCATTTTTAATGGGAAAACTATGGAAAATCACAATTTTTAATGGGTAAATCAACTATTTCTATGGATCAGATGAGGTTGTTTGATGATCGGTTTTTTGAAGCCGGCGCCGGCTGGCTTGGTTTGCCCTGAGAAGGGCAAGGGTTCACAGCCCAAAATCATGGTCCTTTCAGGAATAGTTATTTGCTGAATGTCATCCTTGGTGTGGTCACAACTGTCTACATCCCAGTCTCTCAGTGATTTTTATCCTCTTAGAGGTTGCGATCATTTGGTTGAAATATGGTCAGATGATATAAGCTTCCTGATGGTCAGCTTCATATATCTGGTTGCCCGATGTTGCCCAGTGATCTACTCCCCAAATGTCCCAAATGTGACCTCAATGCCCTACAGTGTACCTACAGTTTTCCCGATGCTTGGCCCTTCCTTACTTGAGGGTGCAGTTTTACTTCGACTTAGCAAATATGTATATGACCATCATTATACGAGGGTTTATCCCAACTTCTGGTGGTCTGTTGATGTTTGTTGGTCACAGTTATGATTATATGTCTACCCATAAAGGTCACCCCAACCGCACTTTCAAGTAGCATCAAGTAGTCTAATTAAATTGGAGTCTATACTTTTATAATTGTTCATTACCATCCCGAAATTGCGATACTCAAAAAAAACAAGGTCAAAATATGAGAATTGCCCTTTTCAAATGATGATCACTATGGGATTTCGATTGGATTCCTATGGGGTTTCCATGATGTTTCTATGATATTTCTGGATCATGGAAAATGATGATCCCATTAAAAATGGTGATTTTCCATAGTTTTCCCATTAAAAATGGTGATTTTCCATAGTTTTCCCATTAAAAACGGTGATTTTCCATAGTTTTCCCATTAAAAATGGTGATTTTCCATAGTTTTCCCATTAAAAACGGTGATTTTCCATAGTTTTCCCATTAAAAATGGTGATTTTCCATAATCCTTCATTGCTTCAGAACGGCCAGGATGTTCTGATGGACGTGAACCAGTCCTCCTCCCTTGGCGACTTGGCCACGTTGACGGAATTCTTCGGGGAACGCGAGTGACTGGGCGAAGTGGAGCCGAATTTGGGAACCGGGGAACCGGTGGAGGCGGGAAGGGAACCTAGTAGGAATCAGTGATATGCTGGGAACATCATGGACATTTTGCTGGGAAAATCATGGAAGATCTGTGCTTTGGAAAAAGTTGGTATGGTCAGAAGTTGTTGAATAGAAACCATATACTAACTTTTTTTTTTAATATTCAACAACTATACCAATACTATACCAATTTATGTTGTATGGTTTTACATCTTTTAACGGAAGATATGTCGACAGAATGAGAGCTTGGGGTTGAACCCGAACCTGGAATGATTCTTCTCAGACAGCCCGTTTTGGCATGGCATGTTTGGTAAAGCTAGACACGACATAGATGAAGATTACCATTGCAGTCGAAAAGCTTTGGAACTGGTAAATCATCCATACTAGTAGATAGATTGACAGATTGAGAGATTGATCGATAGATAGATAGATAGATAGATAGATAGATAGATAGAGAGATAGAGAGATAGAGAGATAGAGAGATAGAGGGATAGAGGGATAGAGGGATAGAGAGATAGATAGATAGATAGATAGATAGATAGATAGATAGATAGATAGATAGATAGATAGATAGATAGAGAGATAGAGAGATAGAGAGAGAGAGATAGAGAGATAGAGGGATAGAGGGATAGAGAGATAGAGAGATAGATAAAGAGATAGATGGATGGATAGATAGATAGGTAGGTAGATAGGTAGGTAGGTAGATAGTTTGATAGATTGACAGATTGATAGATTGATAGATAGATAATTAGATAGAGAGATAGAGAGATAGATAGGTAGGTAGATAGATTGATAGATTGACAGATTGACAGATAGATAGATAGATCGATAGATAGATAGACAAATTTACAGATTGACAGATTGATAGATTGATAGATTGATAGATCGATAGATTGATAGATCGATAGGTATATAGATAGATAGATAGATAGACAGACAGACAGATAGATTAGATAGATAGATAGATAGATAGATAGATAGATAGATAGGTAGATAGATAGATAGATAGGTAGGTAGGTAGGTAGATTGATAGATTGACAGATTGATAGATTGATAGATAGATAGATGGATAGATAGATAGATAGGTAGGTAGATAGATTGATAGATTAACAGATTGATAGATTGATAGATTGATAGATTGATAGATTGATAGATTGATAGATTGATAGATAGATAGAGAGGTAGAGAGGTAGAGAGGTAGGTAGGTAGGTAGGTCGGTAGATAAATAGATAGACAGACAGACAGACAGATAGATAGATAGATACTATGTCATACTTAAATAGATTTTTGAGGGTAGGCCTCATATGACAAGTGAGCCAATCCCAGCTTTAAAAAAAACTCCGGCTCCGAGCGCGGTTCATTCTTCCCTGGGTCTAGTCTTGTAGCTGGAAGTCTCAATCGGAGCAGCCAGAGGTTTCTACGATTGGCCTCAGATTATCTTGGAAAATCGATGAACATCGGTTGTTTATGGTTATGTTACTATAGTTATAGTTACTAGTCGTTACTATGGGTGAATGTTATGTTACTATAGTTAACTTGATATGGGTGAACATAGGTGTCAACAGCAATTAGATCACTTCCTGATAGATCCTGATAGATCGTATACCCTCCGGTAATCAACCGTGGTAATGGCAAATCCCCGAACAACATGGAGGTTTGAATGGGAGAATCAGCTACAAACGGGGGGTTTTCAGCTCACCTGCAAGCATGCGATTGGAAGTGGATGATGGGAACATTTTCAGGAAAGACAATGGTTTTCCAGTAGATGTCCCTTCAAAGCAATCTGCTGGATATACATGAGTTACATGAGGTTGTCTAAAAATAGGCTACTGTACCCGAATAGTGATGGTTGATCATCATTTACTCTATTAGAGTGCCTATTTTAGATATGTCTCCCATTTTTGGGCAAACCCATAAATATCACACATTGTGACTTATATATATATATATATCCCATAGTATCCCCATTAGACCCCTAGTATAGATCCATTTTAAAAAGTAAAAACAAGTAAAAATCACTTTTTTTTTGGGGGGGTTAGTTGTATCCAATAGAACCTTGCCATCCTTCCGCTTCCCCGTTGGAGGTTCGAAAGCGACGCGGAGGAGGAGTTTGTGACCCGTGTCCCAGCGCGGGATGGGCTGTGGCCCACGGTGTCGCGCTACGAAACCTCCACCGCTGATGGCTTCACCCTTGCGGGGACGGTCTCTGCCCTGAATCAGGCGGTGATGACCCAGCGATTTTTTCATGCTCTGGGGGGGTTCAATGGGATAAAAACTGCTTGGTGGTGACTGGAACCATGGAATTTTATGACTTTCCATTTAATTATTGGGAATTTCATCATCCCAACTGACTGTCATATTTTTCAGAGGGGTAGGTATACCACCAACCAGAAAAAAATGATTTGAACATCATTTCGCCAGAAACTGGTGGTTCTTCATGGGATCTGATGATCTCATGGTGTTTGAATGGGATTTACCATCCAATCTTATGGGGAAAAAAGACATGGAACATCCACCATTTATAGCGTTTTTTCCATTAAAGACACGATTTTGGGGGATTTTGGATTGCCATGTTTGATTACTGAAGGGTAACCATCAAAAGTATGATATCATGGATAGTTCAGTGGGGTTTAACATATGTCTTATGACGATACACATGGGGGATGCTCATGGGGATAAGGTATATAACAAAGAATGGGTATTGAACCATATTCAACCAGCTAAAATGGGGATTGAATGGAATATATAACAATGATGGTTTCAGATATGCTTTATGTTCAACGATGTTTGAGTTAATTTTCCCATATGGCTCAATAACTGATGTTTTGAGGGGAGTTGAAAACTACCAACCATGTTGATTGCATTCGACTCACTTTTTTGAGGCAAATGATATTTAAGAGTTGATGAGTTGAACATGCCATGTTCTGGGGAAAGACCGGACTTCTTTGGCAATCTCTGGCACGCAGTTCATGCGCAAGGCCCGGCAATGAGGCAAAGGTGTTTTCCTGAATATACCCAACATGGAACATATGGAACATATGGGTAATGTGGCAAACCCAGCAGCCAGCCACCCCCGGCCATACCTGATTGGTTCTCGAACTAAAAAAGAAATGGTTTCAGATGGTTTCAGCTGTACCCTCTGGAAATTTGACCCTTTGCGGCCTAATTGCTTTGGAAACTATGGGGGAGCAGCACCTGGTATACCCACTGGTAAACTGTCCCATAACTATGGAAAATCACCATTTTTAATGGGTAAATCAATGAACTAAATGGTTATTTTCAAGTTCGCAAACTCGTAGTTTACCCAGAGGCTACCGCTCATGGCATCGTGAAAGCCACGCACAGGTCCTTTCGCAGATCCAGCTGACGCCTCCCCCGGACTCGCCCAACTCCGGCAGCGTCAGCGTCACGTTGCAGCGCACGCCGTCCTCCGTGGAGTTGCCTGCCGTGGAGGGACACGGTTGGCGGGGACCGAAGAAATCCTGCACCAGTTGGTACCTATTGGAAACTATAAAACATTGAAAAAACATGGGATTAGAATGGGATAAACCATCTACTAACTGGTGCAGGATTTTGCAACCATCCACAGTAGATCTGGATCTTTTTGGGCCCCGCTCAGTTATGTGTGTTGGTTTATGTTGGTTTATACCATGAATACTCTCATGATAAGATGAACCATAAGTTTTTTTTAAAGTTCACAAGCCAAAATAAACCACAGTTGTTGGAGTCAAGCATTTTTTCGGATAGGATCATCCACCTAGGGGAATACGGACCCGGCGCATGATATACGAGCCAAGAAGAGAGGATACGTCATGAAAAAACATGGAATATGGCATAGTAACTGGTTAGGATCAGCATAGTTCTGGAAGCCTATATAACTGGTAGATATAAGTAGGCATGTCTCGGGATATGTTAGGCTTGATTTAATATTCCAAGGTAGGTGTACAGGCATGTGTCTGAAAGTTGAGAGAACTATGGCAATGTTATGGAACATGCAAGATGAGAAACCCGTGGATATTGGATGGGCATACATGATATCAAGTGATGTGACATCATATGATACGAAGTGACATGTTTGTATCATTCGAACATATTTTATACAATAGTCAATAGTAATTTTAGATCCCATGACTTCATACAGGTACACCCGAAGGGATATGGTAAGATGCAATTTTCGATGCTTATTGGCTTTGATAGATGTTTTGATTATTATACTCCAGACATGGACATGAGTAACTTCTGAGTAACCGACAAAAATAGCTAAAAACTAAAATAGTAGGGAGTGGACTTGAGATGTTCAAATTTGTGTTAAAACCTTCGCAGCCGATAGGGGACCACCCACTTGCCGATACCCTATTTTTACACATAGCATGGAAGTACGAACCTTCACAAACGATAGGGGACCACCCACTTTGGCCACGTCCATTGCGAGCAGTAAGTATTTTTGTCCGCCACTCACATGTTGTTTGTTCATGTGTGTTACGTCGGCTGTTTGTTCTCCTTTCCCTCTGAATAGCCGACTCAATTGGCTCGCCAGCAAGATGCTGAACGGAGAGAGCCTCGGGATGATCCCTTTCCCACCACATCAAACGACGTGTTGCGGTTGTGATCATTTGCCACACAGTGCCACGACAGAAACTTAAATCGCGATAAGCACCATCAAACTGAAGTCAACTAAATATGTGGACACACACACACAATCACACACACACACATATATACTGTACATATAATATTATATATGCACATATTTAATCATGTTTACATATTACTGTAATTATAGATTTACATTTCACTGATTATTTTCCCAATCATTGGCGCAGCTTGTTTCCACCTTCCCGAAAGCCCGAAAGCGTTTCGCGAAAACCCACGGCGCTTTCGCCAGGTGGGAGTCGCTCTTCGAGCCCGGCACCTTCGATGCGGATGCCGCGTTGTTCTCGGGGGATCTGGCCCTGTCCATTGAGCCGCTGAAAAAGTCGGAGTTCACCTGTTTCGTTCAAGGTGCGGTTGCCGCGCTGGCTCCTGGTGGCCCATGCTGAAACATTGAGGGCGATTCTGAGATCTTTGGCCGATGTTTTTTTTTGAGGGGGGTTGGAAGTGAAACTGTTTAAAACAGTTCGTGAGTATCAGTTTAAGCATGAATAAGCGACAATGCTTTGATATTGTTGGGGTAAAGTGACTGGATGTAGGTGGTAAGGAACAAGAACAAGGTCGGGATGATTCAGGATTTGCATCGGAAGCAACACTTGTACCAGATTATACTAAACCCACCAAAAAGATAAAGCGGATTTCCAGGATGGCATCATATAGACAATGTTTTACCGACAACTTCCAGGTTTCCCTTTTTTATTATTTGTTTGGGTTGCTATGATGCGATAGAAATAGTCAAGCATCGGACCATCTGGACATCAGAGGTGAAAAAATTGACCAAAGCATTCAGCATTGGCTGGGAATTTCTGGTTTGAAACTAGCAACCAGCGTGCTAGTCCAATTGTAGGCGGGGGTAGCCGGGTAACCTTTGGTAATCAAACATGGCAACGCCAAAAAAAGAATACATATAAATGGAGGCTCAGTAGGAAGATCTTTAAATGGGCGATTTTCCATTGCCATGTTTAGCATTTTTTTGTTTCTTTTTGGCGGCATTTGTATGGATGGTGAATGCTTATGCTGGCCATCGCATAGCAATCTCAAAAGACCAAGACCGACTTATATATATAATATTATATGTGTGCGTGTGTGTGAATGGTAGTCACTTCAATTCTGGGAAGGAGGCTCCTCAGGATTCTTGACAAGATTCTTCAAAGATCCTTGATAAAAATCGATGAAATTCTCAATAGATTCTTGATCACTTACTATATCTTACTATTCTTTTTGGATAAGAGACACTGATAAGATGTATCCTTACTTATTAATTTAGATTAATGTTTTGGGATAGTCTTTGGGATATACTTATAACTTATAAGTCTTATAAGATGGACGATGGATCACTTATACATAGACTCCGTTTGTCGCAGGTCCTGCTGCGACCTTCGTGGATCCTGGAATGGACTCCAGGACACCGGCAACCAACACAACGGAGCGACTGAAGCAGTTGAAGCACTTTAGCTTTACCCTCTGGTGAACTAACATAACTTTGGAAAAACACCATTGGGAAAATCCACTATAAATGGGTTTTTTTCAGGAGCTATGTTAAATTACCAGAGGGTATGAGATTTTTGTAGCCTCAGACTGGAGAAGTTCAAAAGAATTGTTTTGGTCATTTTTTGGTATTATTAATTTAACTGTTTATATGCGTTGAACTGGTGATGTGACCATTGAAACCGAATGAAACAAACACATGGAGCCAATGGGTGTAGATTGGTTGACTTATCATGATTTATCAACCATTATTCTAACATTGGCTCTCCCATTCTTTTCTGACATTCGCATGCTTCAAAATGATCCTACTCTAGTTCCTGAAATCGATGCAAAACAAAAAAAAAAGATGGTTTGACTGGCACGGCCTTGCTGATCCAGGTGTATGAGTTGTGATGCTCCGCAGGCATTTTGTTGCACAAGTGGGGTGTATGGTGTAAAGCAAATTTTAGTAAACTTTCGATGGACTCAATTCATTCAATTTGAAACCTATAAAAAGGGCTCTTTAACCTATCATTGCCTGTAGTTTGGGCTTTGCTGGCCATGGAAATTCCTCGGGTTGTGCCTTCGTTGCCCGTTTCGAAATCTGTCTCAGTATCTTTGGACGAAGGAATCGTTCTCACAGCAGCCATGTTTCTCACCTCATGAGGTTCTGGAATCGTTCTCATCGCATTGGTTTCTGGAATCGTTCTCATCGCATTGGGGTTAGGAACTGTTCTCATGACATTCATCGTTCTCAAGCGCATTGGTGTACGGGATCGTTCTCACCACATTGGCTGTTGGAATCGTACTCAGCATGTCAGTCGGTTTGCGTGAAACAACTGCTGCGAACTTTTTTTCGCGAAAATCTGAAGGGTTGGGAAAAAAATGCGAATGGGGAAGGTAGCGACTTAAAGCATACCTTTCAGTGTTTCGCAACGTTCTCTCTGAAACCCTACCCTTCAAAATTTTGAGAAAAAAAAAACCGCGCGACACAGAACCTGGACGTAGTGGGCCGGCAGGGTTCCACACAGGGTAGGGAAAGGTAGGCTGGATGTGCAGATAGACACGCATGCTGAGAATGACGGGAAGATGTCCAAAAACTAACGCACTGGTCTCAGAAATCGTTCTCATGCCAAGAATCGTTCTCACCGCAGGCATCAGTCTCATCACATTAGAAAGTGGAATCCTTCTGAATTTGCTGAAACGTTTTGAAACGGTTTTCAGACCTGTCTACAGGGCCACGATAGGTTCAAGAACTTTTGCAATGAAAAATGCCTGCCTGGAACTTTACGCATTTTCGGAATAGAGGCGTTGTTTCTGTAAAGATGTAAAGGGAACTTGGAGAATTTTGCCCATTCAATGTTAGTGGAAGCTTTTTCCATCTTTATGTCGTTGCTATTTAACCTATCATCTGCAACGGGAAGAAAACATGCATTTCCTTGAGTGATGTCCACTTTGCTATTCTCAGGCGTTGGTGGTCCCCCGCATCATTTTCTGAAGATTTTATATCTAAAACAGGCAAAAGTAGGGACGGCTATTGGGAATGGGGAAGGTAGAATTAGAATTATGGTTATTTGACCAGTCCAGGAACTTGAACTTCATAATCCAAAATTATACTGGCAGCATGCCCATTTCCATAATCAAAATATTGATCATATATGCCCATTATATCCTCACTATTTCTCACTATTTGTATATTCCCATTCTATCCCACTTTCTTTCATAATTACATATAACTTATGGTTCAACATGAACATAACCCATCATTTCCAAAAGGCCCATCCCAGGCCATTTATCATCATCCCTAGGTCACTTATCATCCCATAATGGTGCTGGGAACCATGAACAATATTTATGTGGTTAATTACCAATGATGTATTTATATCACTTATCACCACTTAATTATGGTTCAAAAAAATACATATCGCTATGGTTAACATCATAACTATTGTAATTGATTGGTATATAGATATATACAGTGCATATGTGCATATATTATCCCACTATCTCCCACACTTATATATGGTTAACATCTATTTCCTAGGCCATTGATTTTACCATCTTGATCTTCCATCGGGCAGTAACCATTCATTAGATTTCCCGGTTTATTCCCATTATACCCAACTATGTTTCATAATTATAGTATATTCTGGTTTACTAATGAACGGATTGTATCCTAAGCCACTTATCCATATCTTCCATGATGATCATGATATCCTGGCCATTACGCCATCGATCATCCCATCTACGCCAGGAACATAGTATAACATATTATAGATGCTATATATCCCACTACAATAGAGAACGTGTTCTATTGATAGATGAAATTATGGTTGACATATCATCCCCCCCATTGTCAGGAACTATAATTATAGATCATAGATAACATACAAATATTCATAACATATAACAGATGATATATCCCACTATAATGATATTGATTGCTTATTATAGTTAAAACTTTCAATGGGTTGTTTTTTTTAAGGGAAAATCTTCACCGGAAACCATCGCCACCAGGTGGTGCCCCGTTGTTCTATCCTGGGGGTTATAAACCAACAAACATCACTGGGTGGGCCCATCTTATGGTTATAAACCATTACAAAACCCCCATTAACCTCATAAACTGGTTCGTTATATCTACCATAAACCAGAATTAATTCAGCCACTTTTTCCGTGTCTGAACGCGGCAACCAACGGGGGGCCCATCCTGCAGGAACATGAACATCACCGTCTATGCCGAAACCTCGGCTTCCAGCCTCGTCACCGAGGAGATCGCCGCGGAACTGCACGAGTTCCGCGTCAGCGTGCGCCGGGGACGCATCTCGCTGGACGTCGCTGGGCAGCGGCTTGGGGGAAGGGCCGGAAATGCTGCGGAAAGATGTGGAAAAACATGTGGAAAGAGGAAGGAAATTACAGAATGCCACTCGTTTGGTGTTACAATATGCCCCCTCCAACCACCTTCTCATAAACGAAAAAAAATATATAAAAAATGGGAATTCTTTTGTATGACTTCCATTGTTGAACAATCTGGGCATTTTATAGTGGTGCTTGTTGCAAGTCCCAATAATGAACCTTGGCAGTCCATAAACGAAAAACAAAGAAAAAATATGTTGTCGGGATACTTTCAGTTTTTGGACGTGTTGGCATTTCATAAAACCTCAAGTTTTAGATTATACTATACCTGCATATTATATTTCGGAAATATGTTTTTCGTAGTGCAACCTATTTTATAAACGCCTAAAGATGCATATCGTTTACGAAGTGACCAGCTAGGAGTAGGTACCCATCAAGCAAGGGGCATGCGAAAACTGTTTCTCGAAAACACAGATATGGAATTCAGATGCATTCAGAATGTAGGCTTCCCTGGTGAGTCAGTTTGCCTGGACAAGGATTGGGCCGGATTTTTGAGTTCCAAATGCAACAAGTCAGTAGACGGACTTGCTGAAAGTTTGTTCGGTCTCACATGGCCAGCATTCCCTATCAAATTTGGTCCAACAAAAATCTGATGACGTTCGAAGGTATGGTATCGCATGTTCGAAGGCTGCGGTTCTTAAAGCCTTTTTGATTTTACTCAGGTGAACAAATACCCAGCTGCTCGGATTTGTCCTCCCTTCTACCCGGACGTGGGAGGATGTGCACAAGATGAAATCGATGCCTGGGTGACTGGGGCACCTTCCATTGGATCATTCTGGTGGTAGATTTGTGCATGTTCCATCTTAGAACCACTCAAGGTTTGGACTGCCCATCACTAGGACTTGGTCAAAACCTGACATACCCGAAAATGTCATCCACAATTATTCCACAGCATAGATTTTCCACAGATTTTGGCACCCCAAAATGGGCCCTTGGGTTTTCCGCTGCGTCCCACAGGTGATCTATGGCCGTATCCCTGAAATCGCTTTGGCCATCGAGTCGCTGGTCTACACACCGCCCATTGGAGACTCAGCCGCAGAGGGGACATGGCGGCCGGGGCGGCCCTGCTGGATGTTGGTGTCAATGGTGGTTAGCCTCTGGCAAACTGTCCCACAACTATGGAAAATCACCATCTTTAATGGGTAAATCAACGTACTAAATGGCCATTGTCAATAGCTATCTTAAATTACCAGAGGGTAATAAGGTGACCATCATATAGTGGTGAACAATGGGATATATAACAAGCATAAATAGATATAAAGTGGTGAATAAATGGGATATGTACAGTGACAAACATAAATAGCCAAGAAATGGAGGTTTTAATGAGAATATCCTCTATATCTCTGGATGGATTTGATCATGACATCACGCCGTTTTCCGTCACTGATTTCATCTTTTTTTCAGATCAGTGAATTGCTATCATGCAGCCACACACACACATATATATATATATATATTACATATATAACACAGATATGACATATGGCGAGGGAGAGGGAGACATATATCAGATAGGTATACTATAATCTGCGCATTTACAAGTCGCAGCCCATATGTTATTCTTTGATCTTCTTTAACTTGCCTTCCAGGCGCATTTGTTGGGTCAGAAGTCAGAACGCTAGCCGCCAACCGGCCGGTGACCGGCCGCGGGAAAACACATGGGGAAAATCTGGGAACCCCCAATGAGATCAATGAGTTTGATCCGACATTAAAAGAAACTATGGTAAAATCATGACTTCCTGATGTTTCAATCCATCTTAGTTGATAGTTGATGATAGTTGATGATAGTTGATGATAGTTGATGATAGTTGATGATAGTTGATGATAATTGATGATAATTGATGATAGTTGATGATAGTTGATGATAGTTGATGATAGTTGATGATAATTGATGATAGTTGATGATAGTTGATGATAGTTGATGATAGTTGATGATAGTTGATGATAGTTGATGATAATTGATGATAGTTGATGATAGTTGATGATAATTGATGATAATTGATGATAGTTGATGATAGTTGATGATAGTTGATGATAGTTGATGATAGTTGATGATAGTTGATGATAGTTGATGATAGTGGATGATAGCTGATGATAGTTGATGATAGTTGATGATAACGATAGTTGATGATAGTTGATGATAGTTGATGATAGTTGATGATAGTTGATGATAGTTGATGATAGTTGCTGATAATTGATGATAGTTGCTGATAGTTGATGATAGTTGATGATAGTTGATGATAGTTGATGATAGTTGATGATAGTTGATGATAATTGATGATAGTTGATGGTAGTTGATGATAGTTGATGATAGTTGATGATAGTTGATGATAGTTGATGATAGTTGATGATAGTTGATGATAGTGTTTGATAGTTGATGATAGTTGATGATAGTTGCTGATAGTTGATGATAGTTGATGATAGTTGATGATAATTGATGATAGTTGATGATAATTGATGATACCGGTAGTTGATGATAGTTGATGATAGTTGATGATCGTTGATGATAGTTGATGATAGTTGATGATAGTTGATGATAGTTGGTGTTTCCTGCCAGATTTCTTTTACATCAACTATCATGGCTTCCCAGTGATTTGGGACCTTTTCACCCGCCCAACTTGTACCGCATGGGGCCTGGCGCTGCGGCAATGATGGGGATAGATTGGGTATGATGGAGTTATAACATGTTATAACCCCATTGAGTCCTGAGCCGCATAATGGCTAGTGGTGACCCCATGAACATCTCTGGCAACATCTCTGCATGCTCTCACTGCCTGCGATTTGGTGCTCCGAGGTTATGCGGGGCAAGACGTGATGCGCATCAGCGGGAGCTGTTCCTCAGTGACTTTGGAGATGACCTTGAACATAGTGAAGGGTTTCCTGCCGCCCTTGATCAGTTGCTGCACCGGTGGGACAGTGTCTGGGCTAAAATGAATCTGGTGAGATGCTGACTTGTGGATAGAACAGATGAAGGTAGTGGCAGAGCCCACATTTTCTCGACTCTGCCGGATTGGTAATTCGTGCTTCATGATCATTTTTTAAGATGCATAGTTGCTTTTTCAGGGGAGAGAGGGGCATATATCATCATATCATATCTTCAACAATGATTTGGGACCAGTGGGACTTTACTGGAGCTAATGCCGTTTCCAAGTTCATGGAAACATGGAGGGTGTATTCAATGGTGCTGGTCGGAATTTCATGCGTAAGTCTACATCTGACGATGTGGATTTCCAGAGTGATACTGCACTTCAACTCCTGCCTTACCCTCCGGTAATCAAACATGGCAATGGAAAATCCTCCGCTTGTAGATGGATTTTCCCATTAAAACCTCCTTCAATAGGGGATCTTCCATTGCACGTTTGATTACCATTGTAGAATTTTGGTGGCATATTCTCAAAGCCTTCGGGGCTCCCTGCTTTCAGGAGATCAAAGCTTAAAATTGTGCAGACAGGGCATGACAGGGCAATTCGACATTTTCCCCCATGCACCATGTATCTCCATATAATATTTACCCTCTGGTTATTTAACATAGCTATGGAAAATGGCCCATTTATAGATGGTTTACCTATTAAAAATGGTGATTTTCCATGGCTATGTTAAATAACCAGAGGGTATTTATCATTAATCACCATTCAGCCCCAAAATCAGCCAAATCCAGGTATAAAATGATATGAGATGTATATGAATATGCCAGCCATGTAGTAAGAACTCGCTTTGAGCCATGGGTTTTTCAAACCGGGCTACTTGACCGATCCCTATGCACCCTATTCCGTCAGCACGGGATGACCTGAGATTTGGTATTTCACCGGGTTTGTTCAGTGTCTATGGTCAGAAAGTGATGGCTAAAAACAAGAGATTGATATATATTTAATAATGATGGCTATATTTATATCATAAAAACCATAGGGTATATTTAAACACTCCGTGATACCCTATGGCTTGCTGGTTGGCAAGACATTTTATTGTCACATTAGTTGTCATTAATGAGCTGTTTATAAAGATGTTGATTATACCGAGGGCATTCCTGTGATTTCTTGGTTCATAATGTCATAAACATTTCATATGGTTAACTGTTGGGTTTATGGTAGACATATCGCACTAGTTGATGGGGTTTATAAATCAACTCATGACTGGGGGGTCATCTGGTAAAACAAAATCCAGAGCTGGGTATGAAATACATTGTTTACATTGTTTATGTATATCTATCAAGAAACAGCTGAATAATTCCGCGGACTTCTATGCATTCAGGAACACGACTGAAGTATTTCAGTAGCAGCACTTCGGGAGTTCGACTGAACTAAATCAACTTATCCAACGACCTGGGGCCCTACTTTGTGAGGGTTGGCCCTGTTGAGGGTTGGCCCTGTTAACTGGTCGTTGATTTCTCTCCGATTTGGGCGCCACTGGGCCCAGCAGTTGGGGATGATTTAACTCCTACCATGAATGATGTGTGTGCAACCCATTTAATCCATTTATAGTGATGACTTGGGGATGATTTATTATTGGTAACCCATTTTATGAAAATGACATTTAGTGGTAACTATGTAAGTCTTTCTGGATCTTTTGAGGGATTACTACACCATATGGCCATTATAATCCCCGTTGTTTCATGGCTCTTTAAAAGCCGTTTGCATTCTCGTACTCATTTGGTTGGTGGTTTGGAACATTTTTTTATTTTCCCCTATTTTGGGAATAGTAACCCCAACTGACTTTCATATTTTTCAGAGAGGTTGAAACCTCCAACCAGTCATAGTTATATTCCCATGAATCGTTGATATAAATCCATATCTTTGTTGGTGGGATCCCTGGCTATGGCCAAAACCGGTTGCTTCGTACATGGTTTCAGTAAGTTTCAACTGAAAAAAACTTACCCTCTGGTAAACTGTCCCAGAACTATGGAAAGATCCCCCATTTTATAGCTGGGTAAATCCACGTACTAAATGGCAATTTTCTATGTCGCAAACTGTAACAGTTTACCAGAGGGTAACTCATGTTTCATCCCGCAGCCGGATTTCTAGTCACTAATTCATGGGACATCTCAAGGAGAAATCCCTGGAAATAGCCCTATTGACTGATGATAAAAAATGGGCTTTATACTATCCAATACGTTACATATTAGGAGCGTATCAGAATCTATGAGAATTTTATAGAAGTGTCATAAATATCTACATTATCTGTCATCATTCTCTTATATGATAATTCCAGTGCAGCACGGTTATTTCATCCTATGGGAATCCCACACGGCAAATCCCACCGGCTCATATTGGCTCTAGCCCTGGCAAAGTCTCAGGTCCTGGAAGTGCACCGCGCCCTTTCGCCCGCACCGGTGCCGCCCTGCGTTTTGGAGAGCAACGCCTATGGCGAGATTCCCGCGGTGGCGCAGGTGGAAAATGGTGCTGTTTGGAGTCACGGATAGCCGGATAGCGAGAAAAAACCCTTCAGATTTTAGAGTTTAGAGGTACAGTTTGGAGGTTTAGAGCGGTTAGATCCACACTTTGGAGGTTTACTTCGAACCATATTTTGCAGGTTTTAGAACCACATTTTGGAGGTTTAGAGCCGTAAAATTATTTGTTTAAAATCCAAAATTTTATGATTGCTATTTAAAAATGATAAATCCCTGAAAGACTGCAATATTTTGTAATTTAGAGATGTTTAGACCGATATGAAAATTTGAGGTTGACTCTGTAGGGTAATTTGGATGCATAGAACTGGTCAAATTCTATCTGAGAGGCTGGCTGCATGCTACACCCATCTACGCCCCAATGTTTGTTGGTAAACATCTAACGGTTACATCCTTTTGCAGTTGCTTCCAGCCTCACTCTTCTTGGTTCGCAGATGCGTTTTCGCTTGGAACATTTTCCACTATATAGGTGTTCTTTCCCACCGCGACGGGTTCATTAGGCCGACGGGTTACCCCCATGTGTCCCAACCATTCAGGGCAATTAAGAGACATGATAAACGGATATAAGCAGTAGCCGGCAAACCGGCCCCGAAAATCCAGGAAAGAGTTCTCTTGTTTCAGCCATTGAAAAATGAATTTGTGAATTTCTTCAGCGAAGAAAAAGTGACTGTGTGGGTATCTAGGATCATGGAAAGTTGTTCATCCTACTTCTTTGATGAGCTGTGGGGTCGGCTAAGCCTGGCTAAGTGGTTGCTAAGGGAATCATATTCCATACCCCACTCAGCCAAGGGCTCGGCTCGCTCGGCTCGACCGAGCCGCCGGAATCCCAACGATTGGGTTCCCTCCGTGTATGGCGCAAGTCCAATTACTGTATGTTTCAAATAAATTTTAAATCAGCAGGTTCAACAATAAATTTTAAGGCACTATATAAATAAATAAATAGATAATAAATAAATACATACATATATTATATATATATAATACACATCTTGTTTTGGGTCTGTTCGTTTTGAGCTCCCATCTGATGAAACGGTTTACGTGTTTCGGGGCAGGTCACCTTCCGCAGTGACATTGGACAGCTGGCTTTTTGGCCTGTGCAAGGCCGGAGCATTCGGCGAGAGCATTCTGAGACTTGGTCTTGGGGGATCCAAGAGCTGCATCTTCCCTTCCATTCCAGATTGATTCAGGGGCCGATGATTTTTGGCCTGTAAGTTGTAACAGTAACAACCCTGTGAGACTTTCTCCCTTGGAGTCATGGTGGTCAAATTTGTGACGAATCTCCTCCCATTGCTGAAAAAAAGCTGAAGTTGTAATTATTCACTTTTTACGCCAATGAACAACTTTTTACCTCTCTTTTTGTTATCGCCCCCTTGAAATCGGTGGAATTTGAGGTCCGAAGCAGCCAGGTTTCATCAGCCAGGTTCCTCGTAGGTTTTTCCGAATCCACCTGAACTGTGTGTTACAGGAAAACCATGGAAAATCATAGGAAACCGAAGGCTAGGGGCCTAGGGGCCCCATAATTTCCCATACTTTCCCATCCTTTAAATTGATCCGTTTCTGGGCTTATTGTTGCTGAACATGCAATGTTTGACCGTTCCAGACATATTCCCCGTATAGTTTTGAGATTGTTTTGAGCACCAGCCATCTCAATTGCCTGTGTGTGCGCTAGGGAAAACAATCGTTTCCTGTGACATATTACCCTGAAACCGTTTTATCACCATCATAACCCATTAAATCCTACTACATCACATTCTATCTCCCCTGTATTTGGATGTAAAACCCGTGGTTTCCTGCAACAAATTCCCTTGGTTCAATCGATGTTCCTATCACAGCTATATTATAAATGTAGATATCAACCAATAGAAATCAATTTTCTTGACAGCTAAAGCACTCAATTGACCAGCAAATTTCCTCTTAGTTTGCAACATACATAAAATCCACAAAGATATCCATATACTATATACCCTCTGGTAACCAAACATGGCTTGCTGGAGACTCCCCCATTTTGTTGTTTTTGTTGGGGATCTCCTGGCCCATGTTTTTTTTTTGATCCCAAACTACATAAACATACAAAAGCCATATAAATCCACTAAAAACAAACATGATTAATAGCAAACCTCCATTGAATTCAGGGACTTTCTACCATATTTTCCGTATGGTTTCCCATGTGTTTCCCATGAAAGGTGCCCGCAGTGATTCGCAGTGCGCAGGTCTCTACTTCGACCACGGCTTCGACGCGGTGACGCCCATGCACAACGTCTCCTCGCAAATCGTCTGCGACGGCCCTGGCACAGTGCTGCAGCGGGGTCTGGGATCGAAGCTGGCCATGCTTCACGTAGCGGACACGCGGTGAAGATTTCAGGGCTTCTGGGGAGATTTCGTGGAGAGTCCATGGGAAAATATGGGAAATTCTGAGCTTTAGATGGTTTAATTATGGGAAAATTGTATAAAATGGTTGGATACGTTGGATGTTACTATGTTACCATGATTTCAATGTTGAATCTCAAGAGGTTTGAAGAATTTTGATGTTTTTTAGGCTCTGAGGCTTGGAGATTTAGATTGACCAGGACCAAATCTGGGGATCTAACGTGGCGGTGGGGTTTTAGATGGCTTTGGAGGGTTTTTCATTTAGGGTTTAAGGACTGTTTAAGGACTGTTTTTGATGGTTGAAGTGTTCAGAACCTGAGAGTCAGAGGTTTTATTTTTATTTTTTCATGTCTTGCGGCTTGATTGATGGTTTTTGACAGTTTGGATGATGGTTTAATGATGCCTTGATGAGGACGTTTGAGGATGTTTGAGGACGATTTGATGGTTTTTTTGGTGATCGAATGATGAGCTGAAACTGAGTTGCTCCAACCAATTGCAGATAATAAAGTTGCCGCACTTCTTTCACAACCGGAGAGAGTTGGGCATGTTGTCGTCATTTTTACATGTTTGATGTGTTTTTAAACTATCGGCATCCTTTTTAATGCTGGATGGTGTTTTATTTAATGTTATTTAGTCTTTCATGGTTAATGGCTTGGTCAAGGTTATATACTTGTTTTTGAGGATGGCTGTATGATTTAGAACCGATTTAATGATGGTTGAAAAGGATCGTTATTTAAAACGATAATTAAACCACTTCCAGAAGGCACATAGCCCTCAAGATTTTTGAGTTGCTCGAGTCTTTTTGGATCTTTTTGGGGTATTGGCGCTTTAGATCATTAGAAATGTCACACTGCAGCCCTCCGCAGCCCTCGACGCAGGAAACGGAGACCAGGACTTCAGGAGAACTGGTGATCACAGTGTTGCTCGGGATGGGATGTTTCTGGATGTTTTGGGCAGTCAGATGAGCCAAGGCAGCCAAGGAAGATTGGAAATTGATGGATTTTTTTGGGGGGTAGGATTGGGCAACCTTCCAATCCTCCGATATAAACATGTCAGTGACTTGGACCCGGTTACTGTGTGCATTAGGTCCCTGGCAAAAAGAACTTTTCGGGATGAATCTGAATGGCTGCTTCCACCTGCCGATTGCTCCAAAACAGCCAGTGGCAGTACTTTCTAGTATCACAATGTATAACATAGTATAACTATATGTAGTCACATTTACCCTTCTACCCTGGCGATGGAAATGCCTTCAACCTAACCGACCATGTTTCCTGTGATTTTTAGGGGGGACTGCCCCCTGCCGGGCCCACGAATCTTCCCAGGCTGGATGCCCGGTCCAACCTATCCTCCACCAGCATGTGTCCCATCCGCGTGTTGACGGACCGCAGAGAGGGCCTTCCGATGATTTACATCGACATGCCCACGCCGATGCTCGGAATGTCTTTCTAAATGGTGACCTCTGGAATTACATGCCGGATGGCATCTGGCATTTTGGAGCCCCAAATGGGATTTTCATAGACTTGAAACACTTGAGATCACTTGAGAACAAGCGCTTCAAGATGCTTCAAGGGGCTTGACACTTTGACTAACAAGTTCCCTAAGAGGCCACTTAGGAGTTGCGAAATTGCGGGCCCAGTTTCTCTACCAACCCATCTTCTCTTTCTAGGACTTTCCACTTCGTTCCAGCCCTTCTTCACATCAGTTTGTGCCAGGACTACCCCAAAACCTAATGGGAAATAACAATCCAATGATTCATCATCATCAGTATCATTCACTATCCCCTATCACAGTATTATTGTCATTATCACTATGATTATCATTGAATCATTCTAATTGCTCAAACAGCATTATCTCCATCACACCGTACCACCGAAAGCCCAGGAACGCCTCGTTCTTGCTCTCGGGCACCTTGGGTGCGCGCACAGCGGACGCGCTCTCCGGGATGGAAATGGCCGTGCCCAGCTTCGGCTTTATCTCAGCAGCACCAAGCACGCCATGCTTGGTGAAGCTGGAGGTGGGCCGTGATATGCTATGATATTGGCAGGTTTTCTGAAAACCCACTGGATGGCTGCGGTATGCCCTGGTATTTTCGTTTTTTTGCGGATTAGACGGATTAGATTGGCGTCCTCGGCAGCTAAAGCATGATTTTTGGGGTATCTAAGATGGGCAATAGTTTCTGGCAACGGGTGGAGGGTTGTCTGTGGCTGTTGTTATATCATGGCTTGCCATGTACGGAGCACTGATGAGCACTGAGCACTGCATTTTACTCATCAAGAATCACGAATGGTAAAGTTGGATGAGGGCCCAGCTGTTGCAATGACTTCCGTTTCTGTTATCTCCGATTTCTGGCATATATTGCCGTGGTTTTTCTCACTTTTTCTCCTTCTCACCCCGTGCAGCCACATTTTTGTCGTTGGATGTTGCGGGTAACATTCCCAGTGGTTTGCAGACCTTATATATATCATGAAAAACCCAACATTGTTGGTTACTGCATGTTCTCATCTACCTTGATTCGTGCTTTTGGGCGCACTCCTCTTTAAAGGCTTCCTTGCATTAAGAAGCCTTGTCAATTCAATCACCATCATGGACAATTACATTAGAGACATTATATATTATATTATATTTTTGTTAAGTCCTGACTGTCTGCTGCGTAACATGCCCATTGTGGCTGGTAAAACCCTGTTCTGTTGCTCAAACCCTCGACTTTGCTATTTAGAATTAGAAGGATTTACCCTCTGGTTATTTAACATAGCCATGGAAAATGGCCCATAGAAATAGATGGTTTACCGGTTTACCTATTAAAAATGGTGATTTTCCATGGCTATGTTAAATAACCAGATGTCAGATCAATTCCAATTTTCCGGTGGTTTTTTCACGACTTCACTTCACTCCGTCACTGGGCTGTAGGGGATCATCTCCAGACCTTGATCGCTGCAATGTTTTTCTTGGTACCAAGCAAGTTCTTCCGAGTCGATGCCAGTAGATAAACTCAGATAAGTAAACTATATTTAGATCATCACAATACCCATAGGATCCATGATGATCCATGTATGCTTTATATTTGTTTTACCATCAATATACCCCCAATGTTAGCATATATACCAGCACCATGGATCCTATGGGATATTAAACCATCAAGTTTCGCTGGGTTTTTACCACATTTGCTGTAACTTATCACCCAGAAACGCTTCGCCCCGCCAGGTGCCCCGCGGCGCCCTGGTAGCACCGCATCGCTCTCATCGGATGGACGCCACAGAGTGGACGGAGGTCGGCCCGTTTTGTTTTTTTGGTGATCGGGCTGATTTTTGCGGTTATTAATGGTCAATAATGGTCAATAATGGTCAATAATGGTTAATCATGGTTAATAATGATTAATTAATAATGGTTAATAATCTGATTTTTTGATTTGTTAACAGGGAATCTATGATTTTCTCGGTATGGCATCCTAGACTCCTAGACAACAAAGAACTTTGCTATTTTTGTTAAAAACCAATGCTTTTTAAGTGTGATCTTTCCTTCTGACAAGAAAATTTGGTATGTTTTTAGGGGATGGGCACAGAAAACGACGCACTTTGTTGTTCTTTCCATCTGTTTCTTAGAGGCTGAATTTGGGGAAACTGAATGGATAGCTCCGTCATTTCTGTGACAGCGGCTTGCGGTAGAACAACGCACATATTTAGATATGCCGATATGCCATGATATGCTCAACAGCCCAGCAGATATAATATATATGTTTCTATAGAACTATATATGATGAACTATATAGATATTACATATTATATAGATATTTATAGCTGGATAGAGATATAGATGTCATCTGCTGACCTCCGACCTCGTCGTTTCACCGGCCCCCGGTCCGGGCCCACTGGTCCCATAGGAGCGCCGGGGCAGCTACCGGCTGCTGGCCGACAGCGTTGAGGCAGCCACGGAGCTGACGCAACGGCTGCGCTTCCGGGTGGCCGAGGAGGAGATCGACAGGTCGCGCGTCGGGTTTTCGGGTTTTCGGCAGGGAAAAGTTGTGGCAATTTGCGGGAAATCATGCAAGTACCCTCTGGTAATTTAACATGGCTATTGAAAATGGCAATTTATAGTGGATTTTCCCATTAAAAATGGTGATTTTCCATAGCTATGTTAGTTTACCAGAGGGTATATTAAACTAGTAGATACATTTAGCTAATGTCAACCCCGGATTAATAATCCTCTAGGCCCTAGGCTGTTTAATTGGGAAGGTACCATTTAAGTATCAAATCATGACTATTGGGAATACCCCCCTAATTAATAAACCATGGTTTATGAACCTGGGGTTGACATTAAGGGTAATTATATGTAATGATTATACCTCCTTTACAACCGGTAGGGACCCAAAAAATGAGGTTTAACATGGTTTAACCCCTTCATTAAATGTCATTAGTAACTGGTAGGCTCAATTAATATTGAGGATGGAGAGATGTATATATAGTGTATATATATATATTATATATATATATATGTGTGTGTGTGTAAACATACGTAATTAGAAGAAAACAAATGCACCAAAACCACCAGCCAGAATTTGTTCATCAGCCCAAAAATGAGGATCAAAATATCACCATCCCAGTAAACCTTTTGGGTTTCAATGGTCGCTATGTTTAGAGGGAAAAACAAGGAGGACCAAATGCTACCCTACCAAATATGGATAGATATGCCATATATTCTCTTAGACTCTTGGTGAGAACAGAAAGATATATATGTGTGTAACAGATAGATATAGATATATAGATATAGATATATAGATATAGATATATAGATACAGATATAGATATCGATGGAAGGTATGCGATAATGATACGATCATACAAGGCAACTTTTACCTTTGGTATTTTTTTAATATATACATATACATACACACCCTTGTTGAGGTGTTGAGTCTTCACATGTCTTAGCCACATGCACCAGGCAGCCGCTAGTGGTGCCCATGACGATCTCTGTCTTTGCCCTTCCCAGCGGTCAGAAGAGCGATATGGAGAAAGGGGTCTTGCCCCTCGCCTGCTGCTAAGTATTTTCGAGCGACTGGAGACCATAAAGAGATGATGATTGGAAAGGAAACCACACTTAAACTCAGAAAAGGGCAACATCTTATGTATATATATATATGTTATTTGTGTATATATATATATGATTATATTATAAACATATGTATATATTGTTATTTTATAAACATACAATATATATATATATATACATTAGACCTAAGTATAGATTATTCTTTTATATTGTGTATATATAATATATATATATATATATACATGCACATTGTAAAAACTTATAGGTTACTATATGTCATATATATATATATAATATGTATATGTTTCCGTGCGTGATTGTCCGATGTAGGGTCCAGGATGATCATGTGCCCTGCTGGTTGGTGAGATTTGGAACATGAATTTTATGACTTTCCATATATTGGGAATAGTAAACCCAACTGACTTTCATATTTTTCAGAGGGGTACGTATACCACCAACCAGATTTGATATGTGAAACTTCTTTGACATAGTTTTCGTGCAATTCCAAAATTCTTTGTACGGCGTAGAGTTGGAAGAGTTGGACATGTGTTTCGTTGGCTGCACATGGGTGACACTCAAGGCGCCAAAGGTCAGGTTTCAAAGTCCATCAATGCCCATAACTCGATGTTCAGGCTTAGGTATGTTTTTTCTTGGAAATGGCCATTTGTACAGCAATTCTCACCAGGTTTTTTTTTTGGGGAGGTGTACTTTAACAAAAGACAATTTCCACATGAGGGTCACACTAGTAGGGTCATTCCGGGCAGCCGGGTCACCCTTCAGTTCACCTACTGTCCCACAAATCCAGAGTTTTCCGGTACCCTCTGGTAAACTAACAGTTTGCGAACTGGAAAATCACCATTTTTAATGGGTATATCCACGATAAATGGCCATTTTCAATAGCTATGTTAGTTTACCAGAGGGTAGATTCTCCCTGAACCAAGTAGCAGTCCAGTGCGGCTTCAGGAGAGACCAGCGTGACTTGCAACTCTCCATGTCCTCAGAGCCATCCATTCCCAAATTGCACATCCATCAGCGGCAGCTACACGTGCCGCGGCCACCGCAACGTGTCGAACTGGCACAGCTGGAGATGCAACTTCACTATCCACGAAGTTTCGTGCTGCAGCTCTCATGCGATACTTGGCCATGCGCATGGGATCGGAAACGACGCCATCAAAGCCTCGGTTTCTTGCGGGTTGTCTTGTCAGATTTGGGCTCACAAATTCCACGCAGATGGCTGCACATGTCAATTCTATCCTTCTTTTGCCTCTTCAAAAGGCCCTAAAGTAGGGAACCAGATACCTCCATGATCCTCAATGTTACTGTGAACGTATGATGACCAACCAGTCAACCAGTAGCTGTTGGCTGACTGGGACCACCAGGCACGTAGCCATGGCCAGCTTGGTCATCTCGGTTGTTTAGCTTTTGTTAGTCTTACCAGCGATGTCTCCACATGTCTCCCACGGGCCCACTTTATCCGACTTTCTGTTCCCTACATCATCGTATCAAAATCATTCACAATGATCTTGAATCATCTTACATGTAAATACCACCATTTCTGAAGCTGATTTATAGCAACGTATAGAACCACCCAAAATAGATACGAAAATTGCGAAGCTGGAAATATGAGGTAAATCTCATCAAACTACCTTCCCGGTTTTCCCACTTTTGAATCATTTTTTGGGTGTTGCTACAGGGTGGGCCTCTCAATTATAATCTCATTAACATCCATTAACTGCTATAGTTATATCATGTTATCTCATGTTATATCTATATCCTCAGCTGTAGTACACCACGATTAACCAAGTTATCTGGTTGGTGGTTTGGAACATTTTTTTTCCATTTCATATATGGGATGTCATCCTTTCCATTGACGAACTCATATTTTCAAGATGGCAACACAACCACCAACCAGCAACTTATTTGCGTCAACTTACCTTCTGGTAAACTAACATAACTATGGAAAATCATGGAAAATCACCATTTTTAATGGGTAAATCAAGTTATGTGCGTCAACTTCTCTCTAAAAACCAGCGCCTGGGGGCCCCACGGAGGACTCTCAGCCCCAACGCCAAAGGACGCCTGCACGTTCCACGACGGCTCCCTGTCCACCGCTTCCGTGTACCAGGTCACCGGTCTGGCGCCGGTGCTGCAGAGGCGCCGCACCGAAAGGGCACGGTTCTAATCTAGTGATAGAGACATTTGATTAATTCTGTATGATTATATATGTATATATAATTATATATTATATATATTATATATAGCTATTATCATCTTTGATTATGCTTTTGGTAATTAGATGTATGTTGGATGATTGGTGGATATATAGGTCATATTAGGTAGTATATGTATTTTAGCTGGATGTTTGTTTGTTGTTCCGGTCATAGAAACTTCGAGTTATAGCCACCAGTTGTTGCTCTAACGCTAGCATATACGTAAATTACGCAGTCTATTTGGGAAGCTGAGTCTTGGAGGTGAGGGTGACATGGGCCGACTAACAACATGGTCAAGGGTGCCCCTGATTTTCACGGCCAGGAACATCATTTTCTCGTACACTCTGGTAAACTAACATAGCGAACTGGAACATCACCATTTTTGATGGGTAAATCATCGAACTAAATGGCCATGTTCAATAGCTATGTTAAATTACCAGATGGTATTTGTGTTTCTTCTTTGTTTGTCAGGGGAATGTGCCATAATATGCTATTTGAGGCAACCTTTAGGGGTAAGAAGAGGATATCCTTTTTTCTTTGGCCTTGTGATGATAGAGAAACCACGTCGTGGGCTTTGTCTTGGGCTGTGTTGGATCACTAGTTTAATACTGGATGAGGATATGTACTGCTGGCACATTCGGTACTGGTTGGATGGTGAAACTATAAAGGTTTCGTTGTGACAATATTTGGCAGATGCGCGGTCCATTAGAAAGATCAGAAAGCGAATACAAAGATACCTGCTGGATCCTGCTGGCAATCTACCCTGCTCTTATGGAATACTATTTAATTATGTATATACATACACACATGTGTGCATATATAATTATATATATAGATATTATATCCTGTATATATATATATATGTATATATATACACTATATATACAAACAGATGGGCCAAGAATACGTATGTGTTTTCTCATGACACGTGGATGGTTCAAAAGGGGGGTCTCATTGCCCAATGTTGGGATGGGGCTGGACGACGTGTGAGGCATGTCGCAAGTATGGAGATGGAGGCGTTTCTGCAGAATCGGGATTTTCTGCCACCAAAAATGCATCGGAAAATTGATACTTCAACACATCACAACGGAGATGGGAGTCTAAGGGGGCCTAAACATGGAGCTGAAGATTCAGTGTCAGTTTTTTGTTGCACCCATTTTGGACTTACATCTTAGATTTTAAGTGATTTTAAGGTGTTTTGGCTCCTGATTTAACTACTAGCAAGACCGTTCCATGGCCCGCAAACGTGCTGTTTTTGACAAAAGCTCGTCATACTTATTATAGACAATTGTGATGGAACATATGGCACTCAAACATATTGCAACGGAATTGTATTTGTTCATGGGTTTTGAATTCTAAGTGCTGTTTGCCAACAAATATCTCCCATGAAGATCATCAAATGGTGAACAACTGTGTGTTGATAGATTAGTAGGGAAATCCTGAAGGAACCTGCTGCAAGCTGGGTCCCATTTGGAAGTCAACCTGTTTTGAGGCCTTACATTTTGTTCCACAAATTAATAGATTGAATTTTGGGGTCACTTTTTTTCTGACAAGCCCATACCGGCCCATACCAATATTGTTGGTTTTACATCCCAGAGGGCCGGTATTGTCCAGGGGATAAGACACATCCCTCATGCGTCAGACCTGGGTTCAATACCCGGGTGCAACACTAGGCGGACAGGCGGGCCACTACCCCACCCCTGCAGTTAAGGGGATGAGCTAGGGTGTGGTCCGTAAAGACTCTCTTTACATCCCACTATCCCATGATATTCTCACAGAATTTCGATATATATATATATATATATTTGGAAGTATATATATATATACATTTATATCCCTGTAGTGTATCCCATTGTATCCCCATCATATCTCCATTTTAACCAACTTCATCCAATCGCGGCTTTTCCTTCGGGACACTGGGAGGTGACTTGCGCCAACTGTGAGGCGGAAGTCCCTCAGCGCTGATCATGTGTGATATGATGCTTTTTATATCACAGATGAACATCTACCTATCTATCAGTAGTACTGTATCAGATTATAAGTTCTATCAGATATAAATCGATAATGTAGAATGATCAATTCTAGTATCAGATATAAATCTACATCTCTAAAAGTCTAAAAGTAATAATTTTGTATAGTTCTAAGTATAGAAGAACTTACCTAGATATAATGCAGATACAATTTTGACCATCTCATTACTCCCTCTAGTTTTCATTTGTGATCAGATCTGTGAAATTATATTCAGATGAAGATTAGATGGACGAATATTAGAGGTTTGAAAATTAGATAACCATATGTTCTTATTAAACATAATTTTCATATCAACCCATGTTTGAACATTAGAGGGAATATCCTGCAGAACATGAAGCTGAATTTTAACTCCATCAAGGCTTAGGGTTTGAACTTCAAACTAACAAAAGCACAGAAACAATGAGGCTTTAGTGGATCCATGTTTAGTCAGACTTCTGATGTCAGAGAATGCTGAACATGAATACCCTCTGGTGAACTAACATAGCAATGGAAAATCACCATTTTTAATGGGAAATTTCACTATAAATGGCCATTTTCAATTGCTATGTTAGTTCACCAGAGGGTAGGAAGTACAGATCTACTGTTATTCGAAACCCATGATTGGATGTCGGGCTCCACCCTGTAAACGAACAGAACAGGTGAACGTTGGGGTGAACATCACCACTTGCTAAAGTTGATTTGTGGTTCATATGTTTGTTACCCTCTGGTTATTTAACATAGCCATGGTATAGATGGTCCATAGAAATAGATGGTTTACCTATTAAAAATGGTGGATCTTTCCATGGCTATGTTAAATAACCAGAGGGTATATTAATTGTCATTTTTTGCAGTGCATGTTTATGGCATCTTATGGCCATGTCATTTCTGCAATGTGGTTAAACCAATGATAAATTACTCATGTGGGAATGGTTTAACGGTTTGCCCGTTTGCCCCCTAAAACTGATGATGACTGGGGGATGGTTTATGAAATTGTTTTACCCACATTAAGACTTACCCTCTGGATCAGTCTGGTAATTTAACATAGCTATTGAAAATGGCCATAGAAATAGTGGATTTACCCATAGAAATAGTATTTTTAGTGAGTTTTCCCGCTAAAAATAGTTTTACCCGCAAAAAATCCCCAACATGTCCCCATGGTTAGTGAGACCACCTCCGGCCTCAGGTCGTGTTGATCAGGGCCTGGGACCCAAAAACCTTGGAACTGCGCAACGAAACGATGACAGCTATGGGCAGTCTCATCGCGCAGGTGAGGCTGCGAAAGCCCTGGTTGGTTGATGATTAGTTTGGGGATTATACTCTACCCTCTGGTAAACTAACATAACTATGGAAAAAATCATTTTTAATTTGTAAATCAACTAGAAATGGCCATTTTCAATAGCTATGTAACAAATTACCAGAGGGTACCCAATTTTTTGGGGGAGTTGGGAATTAGTTGGGGATTGTACTACCCTGTATGTATTTGGGGGTTACGCTAAACTACCCTCTGGTAATTTGTAAAAGTTTGCTATTGAAGCCATGGCCCATAGAAATAGTTGATTTACCGAACTTGAAAATGGTGATTTTCCAGTTCGTAAACTGTTCGTTTACCAGTAACCACTGGCAACTGGTGGGGTGAAGGGTGAACCCTGATTTCCCTGAGCAAAAAAGTCCCCAGTAAACGTGAGCTATCCCGTAGATCGATGATTATGTTGATGGGGTTGATGGGGTTGATGGTTGAATTATGCCATAATTATATCAAATTCTGGTTACCAGTGACGAAGTGGGATGACCCTCCAACTAGGGAGCGGTGAAGGCAGTGAACGGAGCTATGGTGACACCCATATTCCCCCAAAATCCATGGAGAGCCAAGGAGTTTCCCAACCATATGACAGATCGAGATGGGCAGACCCAGTTGTAAGATGTTGCAAGTTGATGCTAGAAGGTTATGTATTGCACCATGTATATGTATATGATTGTATATGCCCATCCAACTAGCGTCCAACTCTGGATAGATCCGCCACAAATTCATTGTTAGCCTGTTTATTTTTACCAACTTAGCTCAGTAAGCGGTACCACATACTCCAAATTCCATTGGTTAATCATCATGATCCCTACTCAAATCATTGAAACATTGCCATACCCTCTGGCAATTTATGCGGAAAATGGCCCATTTCAAGGGGATCTACCAGCGGCAGGCTTCATGTCAGATCATCACACGCAGCAGTGCAGTGGCACGAGGGCCACCCCTTTTACGCGCCTGGGCGTTTTGGAAGATATGCAAACCCTGGAGATTTAACCATCTCAGATGGGGATATAATGGATGATTTTCTGGTAATTTGTTACATAATTTAACATAGCTATTGAACATGGCCATTGATAGTTGATTTAGGAGGGCTATTTATTTTTGTTGTTGTTTTCGTGGCAGGTTTTGTTTTTTTTTTGGGGTTCCTGGTTCTATGCTTTCCTGTTTCTCTGATTTTCTGCTTTTCTGCTTCTCTGGTTTTCTGCTTCTCTGCTTTTCTGCTTCTCTGCTTTTCTGCTTCTCTGCTTCTCTGCTTTTCTGCTTCTCTGCTTTTCTGCTTCTCTGCTTTTCTGCTTCTCTGCTTTTCTGCTTCTCTGCTTTTCCTGCTTCTCTGCTTTTCTGCTTCTCTGCTTTTTGCTTTCCCTGCTTCTCTGCTTTTCCTGCTTTTCTGCTTTTTGCTTTTCCTGCTTCTTTGCTTTTCTGCTTCTCTGTTTTCCCTGCTTCTCTGCTTTTGTACTTCTGTGCCTTTCTACTCCTACTATTCTACTTGTTCTTTTCTTCAGTCATGTGTTTTTGCTGCTCTACTTCCTGCTCCTTTGCTTCTTTGCTTCCTGTCTTTACTGTATTTTTGTTTTTCATTTTCTTTTGCCCTATTATGTTCTGTTTGTCTCCTAAATGAAACCCTAGAGAGACCCTAGGTGAAACCCAAAGAAACCCTAAAGAAATCCTGATAAGAAACCCTACATGAAAACCTAAATGAACTCTAAAGAAACCATAAATGAACCCTAAAGAAACCATAAATTAATCCTAAAAAAACCATGTAAATGAAACCCTAAAGAAACTTTAAATGACACCCTAAATGACATCCCAAGAAACCCTAAACAACACTCTGAAAAAAAAACTGAATGAAACCTTAACTGACACCTTAACTGAAAGAAACCGTACAGAAACCCTAAAGAGACCCTAAATGAAACCCTAAATGAAACCCCAAATGAAGCCCTAATGAAAACCCTAAAACGTGAAAAGAAATCCTGATAAGAAACCCTGGAATGAAATCCTAAAGAAAGCTTAAATGAATCTTGAATGAAACCCGAAATTGAAACCCTAAAGAAACCTTGAATGAAACCCTAAAGAAACTCTAAATGAAACCCGAAAGAAACCTTAAATGAGACCCTAAATGAAACCCAAACTGAAACCCTAAAGAAACCCTAAATGAAACCCTAAATGAGACCCTAAACGAGACCCTCAAGAAACCCTAAATGACACCCTAAATGAAATCAAGAAACCCTAAATGACACCCTAAATGAAACCCTAAAGGAACCCTAAAGGAACGCACTTGAACGTTTTAGAAATCGTGAAAAGAAATCCAGATAAGAATTTTTTAGGCCTTACGGCACTGTGCGCCTATGAAGTGTTTTTTTTTTTTAAATATGATGGTGTTGCTTGGTGTACTTAAGTGTATTGGTCATCGCTGTTAGATGTGAGTTGTGATAGAAGAAGTATCACTTCTGCTTGGGTATGCGACCATCTAAAAGCCACCAAGCCGTTAGATACCAGGTGTCCTCGACATACTATCTCTTCTGTTTAAGAAGTATTACTTCTGCTTAGGCGTATGCTCATCTAAAAGAGCAGACATTGTTAGACGCAAGCTCTATTAGATGTGGGCTGCGTCAAGTGAAAGTCAACTTCTGCTTAGGTGTTGTGTCGTTAAGTAAAAGCTATGTCAAGTCGTTGAGAATTTTGCTTATATAAATTTAACGTGTTCCTATTGTTTTCTTTGCTGCAGAGGTCGGAGGTGCAGGTGACAGTATGCCTTCGTGCTTACATGTCCTGCCTTCCCTCTTCTGATGCTGCCGGCGGCGTGCCTAGCGAGCATGCGATCTATCTGTTTTTGTTGGAAAAAAGTGTGCTGATGCAATGGGTGAGCGCCTTGGATAGATTGAAGCCAGCTGGGATATGGTTACGGCTTGCGCATGGGTTAGTGGCTGCATGATGCTTGAATGTGTAAGTTTGCATCGGCTAAATGCAAGTTGTGCAAATGCTGGTATCAAACACGTTGGTGAAAGCTAGTGGCTTCTGGTGACATCTTTGTTGCCGTACATTTTGAGAGTGTGGATTAAAAATGTGTTGGAAGTTAAACTGGTCGCTGCTCAATGTCATCAAGAGCTTCTGGCATAGCTGCAGTTCAAGTCTGAGATTCCCGCACCGGGCATCAACATTGCTTGTAAATTTGGCACGTTGTTCTTCCTTCTGTGCCTGTATTGTGTTGATATGATGAGCGCCGCCCTCAAAACACCTGCCGAAATCTACGAGGCTTCGTGCGTGCGCGTTGATAATCATTTGGGGGCGTATGGCAGCCATTGTTTGCAGGCCATGCAGCAATTTTTTTTGACAAGCGGCTTGATACCGCTGCCGCTATGTTAGATTTGGCAAAGCGTGATAGTATTAGAATGCGTGCCGCCATCAGTAATTGTATATCACATACATATGATGCTGGCTGGGCTTGCGTTCCGTTCTGATGGTACTCATCTGACACCTGTGGGCATTGCCTTCTTCCTTGACGCTGTGCGCCCACTGCTCGAGGCTTATGTACCTTTTCACAAGCGGTCATGTATGTGTTGCTGGGTATGCTTCAGGAAGATGGGGTAGACCTAGTGATCGGCGATTCTTCCTTATGCGCGGTCATGCCTGAGGTATTTTTCCCATGCTGTAAAGGCTGAGACGTTCGCTGCTATGAGATGGCTATGTTTTTTCTTTGGCAGGATGAGTTGGACCGCGACTACACTGGGGCCATTGCGGCTGACCTGCTGCTAGCTCCAGTGGCACCTGCTTGGGGAAAAGGTTTTGCGGGGGATGGCTTCAAGTGGCTGCTGTGGGGCCAGCGGGGCCTATTGGAATGGAAAACCCCGCCAACCATCGCAATACTTTTGAGTGTATAGATTGAATCGCCGTTGGCCCGCTGCTTTTTCTGATCAGGCAATGATCTCTATGGTCGGCAGCGCCCTGAAAAAATAGTTGCTGCTATGATCAAAATGAGAGAGGTGCTGCTACAGCATTGTAAATATCGACTGTATATGCACATGCGCGCGTGGTTTCCTTTTGCTTCCATGCCACACTTAACCGACACCTGCTGTTAGACAATACTTTCATCTAAAGAAAAAGGTTGTTTTTAGATAGAGCCGGTGCGGTGTTAGATAACGCCCCCATCTAACCGGTGAAAATAATTATCTAAGAAACGCGCGGGGGCAAAAATGTACATCCGGTTAGGTGAAAGTCAAAACGGGTTAGATGTAAGGCCATCCGGTTAGGTGAAAGGGGTTTTCGTTAGATAAAACGGATTTTCGGCTAGGTGTTTGGGTGTTTACATCTAAAAACCGAGGCTTAGGGCATGCTCTATAAGGGGGAAAAAAGATGGTTAATTCTAAAAAGAGTTTTGCCTGGGCAACCACTTCGTAGTCGAACCCTGGAATGAAACCTTACAGAAACCCTAAATGAGACCCTAAATTGGGACCCTAAATGAAATCCCAAAGAAACTTTAAATGAAACCCTAAAGAAATTCTAAATGAAACCCTGAAGAAACCCTAAAAAAACCCAATTGAACATTTTGAACTCCTGACAATAAATCCTGATAAGAGACACTACACTACATGAAACTGGAAAAAACTTAAATGAAACTCTAAAGAAACCCGAACCCTAAAGAAACCCTAAATGAAACCCTACATGAAACCGTAAAGAAACCCCAAATGAAACCCTATATGAAACCCTAAAGAGACCCTAAATGAAACCCTAAATGAAACCCAAATGGAACCGTAATGAAAACCCTAAATGAAACCCTAAATGAAACCTTACATGAAACCCTAAGTGAAAGCCTAAAGAATCCTCAAGAGACCCACATGAACGTTTGAAGCACCAAAATGTAGCAAATACCATGCAAATCAGAGGTTGAAATGCCAAAATATGATAAATACCATGCAAAATGGAAGGCAAACATGGCCAAATGTAGCAAATACCATGCAAAATGCATAGTGGCCATGCCAAAATGTAACAAATATCATGCAAAATGACATTTCTAGTTCCAAACTGTTGCAAATACAAGGCAGATGGTACCAGGAAAGAAAACAAAAAAAAATCCAAAACCTGAGGCAAAAAAAAACAAAAATTATTCTACACCAGTTGATTTCCCCATTAATAATGGTGATTTTCCATAGTTATGTTAGTTTACCAGAGGGTGTATATATATATATATTTTTTTTTTCCCAACCGGACTTGGGATGATCGGTTGAGGTTTCTGGGCATATTCTTGGGATGGCTTGAACATGAACCCTCCAACCAGCGTGAATCACGTCGGAGATAAAATCAAAGATTTTTCGGGGGATGAATGGTAGGGTTTATTTGAAAATCATGGGAAAACTGCAACTGGCCACGTGGGGGGCATAGCCCATTGATGCCCATTGTCAGACTCTTTGCTGACTTGGTCTCGGTTGGATGACCCCATTTTACTTGTCATCTAGTGTCTTTGGAGGGATAAAACCAACCAGAGCTCAACAACTCTCCGAGGCTCTTAGAAACTATACATAGCTATACCCAGCAAACGTGGGGATGAAACATGATGAAACCCAGATTATAAATCTGGCTGCTGATGGTTTAAGATAGTTTTTTTTTACCTTTCCATCATGCCTGATCGTCATGCCTTATAAGTTAGCCGTATGGCCCTAATTTTTGCGGGTTCTATTTAAGATGTCAAGAAGTCGAGGCTATTTTTTAGATGGCACATGTCTTTCTCAGTTTGGTAATGTTTAAAACCCCCTAGCTAGACCATCCCCAACTTCACCAGAAATGGCTGGCATAAACTGGTAGAACCATTCCCGAGTGTCTTGGGAGGGGTTCAAGACGCCCTGAATGCCCTGACTTGATGACGGGTAGAAGCGTTGGAGAAACTGAGGTGTCTGAATGATTGAACCCAGTTTTTTGTGGTGTAAACAGCGTGGAATAGACCAGTCAACCACCAACCAGAGGACTGTTGGCACTATGTTTGCTGTTTTTATCTGCATATATATGCATATATCATGTATATATATATATATTATATATATATATTTATACGTATATGTATATGTCATATACCTATATCTATATACGCTGTACACAGTGTGCAAAGTAACTCTTGGTCTTGTTGGTGGCATACCTGCCTAAATCCAGTTTATGTATGTCTGTTTGTATGCAGTTCAACCCCCAACCTGAACGAACATATCATTCTAGAATCTTGTTTCAATTTTTATTATGTATGCGTTCTCATGGTATGAAATATGGATAGCTACAAGGAGGAACCCTCCTGTTGCAAGTTGGTTCATTAAACCCCATCAGTTAAGTTTATATGTAATTACCACAGGCCCTAGTTATATTATATCCGGTTATACTAGTGGTTACTAAACCAACAATTTCGGTTACCTGGGGCCCACCTTGTACCCTTTCCCTATCACCCAAAATTAGTGTCGCCTCCCGCAGCCGGGCACCGCCCCGCAGAAGTGGAGAGTTCCGGCGTGACGCTGCGCGCCGGAGAGTCGGTTTCTCTTGGACGCCACTTGAGCCTGCGCAGCTTGGCTGCTGATCTACACATGAGCTATGGTCAATACTCATGGTTAATAACCATTAAAAACGGGGCTAGTCATCCAATGGTGATTTAATGGGATTTATAATAACATATAATAACCATTATTTTTGGATCCTTATTATGGATGGGATGACCATCAACCATATAGTGAGTATTGACCATGGCTCACATGGTCAATCTTCAAACCCCTGGTTGGTGATTAGTTGGGGGATTATACTACCCGCCCAAAAAAAATGGGAATTATAATCCATGCAAAAATCGTGAATGTTTCATGATTTTTAGTTGAAGCTCTATCGTCAGTTAGTTTAGTGAACTTTGACTTCGGATTTATGGCATGTTTGTATATATATATATATTGAATAATATATACATATATATATATATGTATTAAATATACTCATAGTTCATGGGGTTACAAACCAACTTTCGGGTTTCCCAGGTTGAACATGATCTCGTAATTCTTCATGAAAATCATCTATAGATCGGGATGTTTGGTTTGATATAGTGAGGACATAATGGGGATGTAATGGGATATGTATCTAAAACAAGTAAATCTGTGGATGTTGTTGTTTGTTTATTAAATTGCATTATATAATATTATATATATATATATATATTAATTGTCATTCCAACATCACTGGGGCTACATTATGGTGGTGTCGGTCGGTGCCCATTCTTGTGCATGGTTAGGGAGTAGGCAAAGTACCATGCTATCCACATTTTTCAAACCCAGGATTAAACGAAACCCTGACAGATATGGGCAGCTACAATGGCTTCATGTTTTAGACGAATTATCTGGGAGTTTTACCATCTGGAAATTCGCTTAACTGATTTGTGAATGGTAGACCGATGGTTGGGTGGATTAGCACACAAAGTTTTTATGGTTTGCAATTCCGCAGGAAAATGTGTGTTTTTCTTTACAAATGCCCCAAGGGTCAACCATGTTCTTGCATTTCCGAAATGTTATCCCAAAACTGACCCCACCGCAAGGATTTGGAGACAGGGGATGGTTTTCCCACCCAGGCAATGCAGATCCCAATGAGCCTTTGGGACTATATGCTGTGCAAGATGATGTGGAAGTGCATTTGCGCAGCAGCCAGGGCATTTTGGAATCTTGGCCAGAACGATGAACAAGTTCTTGATGTCTTGATCCTTGATACCTATGATTGTTTTTCATGCCGCATGTGCATTTGACACAATCTATTCTCACTTTCTGTTTGGTTTTCTCTCTCTCTCTCTCTGTGCATATATATCTCAGCACATGTTTTTGACTCAAACGGATGGTTCATTGGTACGATTTCGATCCATCAATCGTGCCTTTGAGAATGCTCCATACATCTCCATAGTGATATCTGTGAGACTCTTCTTTTGATGTTTTGTCAGGATGATAGGGCACCTTTTCCATTTGTGCATTGATACTTTTGGACTCCCTGCGGCCCTGCAGTACATCAATTTTGTAGACAGTCAGCCACTGGATGTCACCCTGTTTAGAACTGCGAATATGACCAGGTGACCAGGCTATAAAAGGAACATCTCATATAAAACATATATAAACCACATCTGTTTTTTCTTTAACTAATGCTGTTTCATTTCCAGGAGGTCGATGTGGCAGCACTGGTGGGCTCGACACAAGCGTACCTCTCCGATGCAAAGGATGGAGCGGCGACTGCCACGAAGTACGACCAAGAACAGGAACAGGTGCACGGGAAAGCCAACCTATACGCCTGGGCATAGGATGGTATCATTTAGTTATAAAATATTATAAATAGTTATCTATAAATACTATAAAATACTATAGTTTATCATTTAATTATAAAATACTATAAATAGTTACCTATCCAGGGATATTTATGTATACATCGATCACGGTGAGAATCAAGTGGGAAAAACGCGTAATGGCAAGCCAACCCAGTGACGAGAAGGTTCCTGTTTTCATGATTTGCTGTGGATTTCCCTGGCTGCGAAGTCAGTTTGCTGGCACATCTTCAGATGTCACTTGCATGGTAAAATCCTGCCTTTCACATACACACATGCCATCATATGCCAACTTTTGTATTTATTTGGCCCAAGTTTTGAAGATTTAGACGATTTAGCAGCTTTGCCATACCCTTCGCAATTTCTCAGAGAGCTGGTTTAGCAGCTTGCGGCATATTGATGGTTACAAATCCCATAAGTTAGGATATAACCCCTTTAGCCATATCCACTCCTAGAACCTGCATTTCCAAGTAGACCTTCCAAGGTAATGTTTGTGTCCTTTTCGGCGTACCCTATGTTGGAGACTAGTGAAGCCCAAGCCATGGCTTGGGATTCCGTCAGTCCCGCACGCAGGTGGCAGACATGGGAGCCCAAATGAGTGGTGCAGCTTTCAACGTGCCATCTGCCAACACGCGTTTGGCATATGTGGGGGCTCCCATTTGTTGAGGGAATGATGGCCGAAAGGCCAATTTTTGTCATATTTTTCTAGAATTACCGAGATGAATGAATTGGGTGCGTTTCAAAAATGTATGGGCAACTTTTTTCATTCGAGTTTGAGGGTATCTTTGGATCTAGCCTTTGCTTTGCATTTCGTGCTCGTTTGTGTAAAAAAAATATCTACTGTATTTTTTTCTGGATTCTGCTGGTGGTAATTCTCAAATATGCCAAAAATTCTCAACCATCGAAATATGCACCAATTCCTCCGATGGTCAATCCACGTGTCCCCTGGATCACATCCTCTTGTCGTTTCGGTGCCCCTTAAATCCGGTAAATCTATCGAGGGAAAAGCTCTGTACGGTTAAACCCCATTTAATGTTAGATCATATGCCCATGTTATCTTATTGGTGGTTTCAAACAGTTATTTATGTTCCATTTCATATTCATACATATATGGGATAATCCTTCAAGATGGTTAAAACCACCAAGCAGTTTTATTTTGATCATTTGAATCCAAATTTGAGTTGGGAATACGTCCCGATCCCATCCCTCGGTCCTCCGGTCAGTGGTTAGTGTATATATATCTAACCTATTTCTGGCAGGTAAAACACATGTTCCTGGAAACTTTCCCCTTAAGTCAATCCTGATTCAATCCTGATTCAATATGCAATTCTCCATGCACAACCCCCCAAACATATTCTCTATTAAGACATACTATCAATCATTCAGTCAAACAAGCGTTACTGAAATTACTTGACCTATACAATCTCATAATGTCTAATGAACATGCACTTGATATTGTAAATCAGCCATATTGTTGTTCAACATACAGTTTTGCTTGACCCTCAAATCATCAAACCCTCGAAATAATACCCTATCCAAACCCAAATTTATTTCCCTCAAATTCATAAGCCTCAATTGCTTAATATTGCTTATATAATCTTATATACATCATCCTTTAAATACTGTACCGCACGAGGTGGTGCCCCTTACTTATGTTAAGCGGCTATTTTATAGCTTTATTTTTGAGATCAATAGGCTAACCAGGATTTATGGTATATCTATGCATATCTATTACGTATATATATTTCTATATAAACCAACTTATAAGACTGATTACGCCTCCGTGAATTCAAGATAGCTGGGTAAGTTCACCATGACAAGTTCGGTAAATCCATCGCCGTCTGGGCCGGACATGGCTTCCACAGTGCAAAAACTCTAAGAAATGGAGGCTATTTTGAAGATCGCCCCACCAGCCTCCAGTAAACCAACAGTTCGATGTGGAAAATCCACATACCCTCTGGTTATTTAACATAGCCATGGAAAATGGCCCATTTATAGATGGTTTACCTATTAAAAATGGTGATTTTCAGTAGCTATGTTAGTTTACCAGAGGGTAACTTTCCCATGGCTTTTCCCATGGCACCCTGGCACCGTTTTCTCCCGGCCAGGTGGACCCTTCCCGCCCCGCGGACCCGGAGAACCGGACGTTGCTGGCGCCTGCGGGCGCTCAACGGCCGCAGCTGGTCCGGTGGACGGGACGCAGTTTGCAGCTGCGGGGCCCTGCGGCGCTGATGTGGCTGGGCCATGGGGGGCGGCTTCACCATGGTTTAGGTATGCTAAAATGGATCGAGAAAAATTGGAATTCAAGATGATTTAAGATGATTTCACCAGCCAAAAGTGGGAATTTCAGCCACGAACACGTTTGGATGTGTAGTGAATTCACAGAATGAACCGAAAAGTCCAGGTTCAAAGCTAGGTGTGGGGTTGAAGATAGACAAAGTATTGGATTTTCACGAAAGGTAGCCTAGGCTACCTGAGTTCTATGTACTTTAGTACTAGTTTAGTACTGGGGGAGGTGGCTGCTCCTTTCCCGGAAATTGAAAGCCGAGAGTCACGAACGGAGACTTAGGGGGGGGGGGCCCCCCCCTCCCCCCCCCATTCGATTCCCCCCTGGTCCGCATTTTTTTCTCTCTCTTTTTCTCTGACTCTGTACCTACCTCCTTATCCATCTATCTATCGATATATCTATCTATCTAGTTGTCCATCTATGTATGTATTTATCTATCCTTGGATCTATCTATCTATCTATCTATCTACCTATTGATCTATCTATTTATCTATCTGTTTATCGATCAAGGTAGCCATCGATCTATCTATTTATCGATCGATGCTTCTATCTCTCTATCTATTTATTCATCTATTTATTTATTTATAGTTTTATCTATCTATCTATCTATCTATCTATCTATCTATCTATGTATTGATCTATCGATCTATCGTGGATGTTCTAGTCCCATTGAGGCCGTGCCGGGGAATAGAGACTCGCAATGTTTACGTCCCGCACATGCGTGCGCTCGCGCGCGCGGCAAGCACCTGCATGCAGGATGGTTCACGCGCGCGCGCGCGTGAAGTTACTTTACATTTGACATTATGTTTCTGATTCTATTCCCACAAAGCTTTTTTGGGGGCTAACATTTTCTTCTGCAGGAGGTTTGAGTGAAGAGAAGTATCAATCTCAGTTTGGCAATATTTTTCCTGTTGCTCTCTTTTGCCCCCCCCTACCTTTCGTCCCCCCCCTCTCAAGTATTTTGAATTGCCCGAATCAAAACCAAATTAGCATATTAGCATTTAGCTACACTTGAAGTTGTCCAGTTTCTCCCACAGTTTGTGTTGGTTAATCTAATCCCATTCGCCCAGAACAATAAATTCACTAAGAGAACATGGACCTCTGAACAGTCACGACCACACCAGAGTTATTTTCTGCGGGATGTTTAGGCTATACTGATCTATACTGTAATTGCTTTACTTGTAGGATTATCATACTGGTTATACCCAGCGCGGTGACCCAGTCCCGACCTCAGCATGGATGATGGTTCGAAAAGGAACACCGAAACGAAACGAAAGCCTGGTGGAATGTAATGAATGTAATGGATTTGTACAGATTTTTGTTTTTTTGGGTATTTTACATTCGCGGGATTCAGATCAAGTTTGGGTGGGCTGTTTTGACTGTCGTAAAAAAGGAATAAATAAATGCCTGAACCCAGGTGATTCCACACTACCAAAAAGCGGCTAGTGACGAATGGTGGTGGTGATGTGCTAGATTCCAATGTTCACTTGGCAGTCAACCCCTCATGTCTATCTGTACCACCATTTTTTTTGGATCATCCCGGTAAATGTTTACAAACCAGTTATCAAGCCAAATGTGACATCATGAGATAACTAGGGTTTTCTATGGTTTTCTCATAGTTAATCCCTTTGAGATCATATTGATTCCTGCTGGTTCCCGCGTTGTGGCCGAGGCAAGCCACGTTGGCCACCTTGAAGTACACCGCGGACGAACGCGCGGGCGGCTGGGACACGGTCCAGGTGTCCATTGGAACAGACGGTCAGCGGGGCGATGTTCCGCTGTACATCGTGCGCAAAGCAGGCGGGGCATGGAGGTGGTCGGATTTAGAGCTGTGAACGGTGCTAAGTACTGGGGGTTCAACAGAAGGTAAGCTTGGCCTTCTTCTTGGATCCCAAGACGACATATTCAGTTTCTTCATGCTTCGTGAGGGCTTAGCTCGCCCACTTACCCTCTGGTAATCAAACATTGCAATGGAAAATCTATCATTTAGTTCGATCATTTTCCCATTAAAACATATATCAAAACAGATTAAAACACAATTATTTTTTGCAACATGTCAAGCCGGTTTTCAAAGCTAGCCATGATTGATTACCAGATGGTATCACAAAGCGTTCATTGTTTGCAACATGTTTGCAAGATCTAAGCAGTGAACCAGGCCCTCCCCACCAGCCCCAAGTAGGCGCAGAGCCCAGGTGATGTGTTGTTGAAAGGCGCCCCGTTGCAGACCTTGATCGCGGGGCAGTTCCTAAAGCCTAACGTCCCTCGGGATCCCTCGGGTGCGGCGCCGTGGTGTCTCCCCGATGCCAAAAGTTGTAATTTATGAAATTTCACTACTGTAGATATACCCTCTGGTGAACTAACATAGCAATTGAAAATGGCCATTTATAGTGGATTTTACCTATTAAAAATGGTGATTTTCCATTGCTATGTTAGTTTACCAGAGGGTAAGGCTTTGCTGTAGAAATCTGTAGAATGTGTTGTGAACATGTTTTCCTTGAGGTAACCCTGGGACTGTGGGAGTTCCGGCCTCACTTCTGAAGCATGGGAATCATAGTCACTGAAGCCCGTTTGATAGATTTGATGCACATTTCCAAGAATGGAGGACGATTATGGACATTTTAGAGGACAACCCTGATTTTCACTTGTTTCCTCTGGGTTTTCCCTTAAAGCAATCAATTCAACATCTTGGGATATCTTGGGCAAGGTTGACCCCGTTAGATCCGGATGTCGGATGTGGCACAGGGGTAGCGGGCTTGGGGGAACGATTTCTATAACCCCCTTATTAACCCCATGAAAACTATAGTCATATCCTCCATAAACACTCTAGACTCTCTCTATAATCAACTGAAAAAAGTCAACTCAACTATGATGATTTTATGATGTTTTTTTTTTTTTTGTCATCATGTTATTTTATGTTATTTATTGATTTATCATGATTTTATCAGTGATTCTCCCAGCTTCTCAGATCAGTCGCTATCGAGGTGACCTTCGAATCTGGTTCCTTGGTGCGTCCCGCGGATCGCTTCAACGCCTGGGTCACCTGCAACTCCTGCGGCTTCGCGCTTTGGGCCTTCGCGGGGGAGATGAAGGCCAATGGGAAGGGGAATCTTCGACACCTGGTGGGAAAGCTCATGAAAGCTCCATGTTTGGTGTTCAATTCCTATGGTTTCTGGATAAGATTGATAAGATGTATAAACCAATCCAATGAGATATATCATTTCTAGGGTAGAGTTACGATGAATACAGGTTGAAGATTTAAATCCTAGGTTTGGCATTGAACATGCGGCTAGTCAGGGATGGGGAAAGTTTATCGCATAAAAAAGTGTTTTCCCGGACGATGTTCCAGTAAGGATAGGGACCCCTGATGCTGTCGCAATGGGAGATGAGGAGGTTAGATTACACATATTTATAAGTTATAATCACATATTGTAACAGACTCGTTGCCACAAAAAAGATAGAACTTGTTGAATGTACCACCAAATTTGGCAGATTAACTGTTTTGTTTTATGTGTTATTCTTGTTTTCTCTAAATCATTATTATGGAGGTTGCTAGAGATCTTCTGCCAGGCGTCACTGACGGTGGGATGATGGTTTAGATGCACATCCTCACACTTTGCATCATATGTATATTCATACAGGATGGGCCCCCCGTTGGTTGCCGCGTTCAGTTGCCTTATCTAAGTGGTTGAATTCGATTGGGTTTATGGTAGGTATAACCAACTAGTTCATGGTGGTTATTTCATGGTTTATAAACCAACATTCACATCACTGGGGGGCCCCATCCTGTATGCCTTCTGGGCCTATCTGGGCTCCTCATATGGCCCGAGCGGCTCATCTCAGTGGACTTTTTTTAAATACGTTTTTGGAGTCTAAAATTATGTATTCATATCAATCCCTATGGATCCAAACACTCTCTGAGAAGGTACTTAACCCTCCAAATTATAGTAAATTATACCCCAAACACTTCCTAAGAAGGTACTTGGATCCATAGGGAATGGAAATTTCAGGAACCGATTGATTGGAGGTACCTACCATATATGTAAGGGAATATCCTCACAAAATATGGCCTGACAAATGGTACAGTACCTCCGTTTTAGGATTTTGGAATTCCCATTGATTCATATGTTGACTGCCGATGCATCAATCGATGGGGTGGATGATTGTTGCAGAAGACGTTGGTGTGTCCTACATGTAGAAGAAGTCCCAAAACCTCATGATTGAGGACCGTTGAGAGGATGCTTTTCTCAAGTAAGACGTCCATAACTCAGCTCAGGCACCTCAAAAAAGAAACGTCCATAGGTCCATAACTTTGGTATTTCATTGGTATTCACATTTTTCTTCTCATAGCATGTATGGAAAACCACCCTGGAGATACAACGGGTTGAGATTTTTTTTTAGGTGTTCACGAAGATCTGCACCCAAAACATGGAGACAAACCCGATGCCATGGAGCTAGTGATCCTGTTTTGAATATTTTTGAATGCCACCTTCATTTTTTGACTGCTACTTACCCTCTGGTAATTTAACATAACTATGGAGAACCACCATTTTTCATGGGTAAATCCACTATTTCTATGGCCATTTTCAATAGCTATGTCAAATTACCAGAGGGTAGCTAAATCTTGGAATGGAGCTACGGCGGGTCAGCTTGGTGAATCGGGTGGCATGCCCAAAATGTGGTCAGCTTGGGTATGTGATGCCTGCGAGAAGTACTCGAGATGTGTGTAGCCGTTGCCTGAAAAGAAACCATTGAAGCAGCACAAAAACCCCAGCGCCCTTGAAGTCAAGCTAAGATTTCATATTTGATGGTGGAAGAATTGAAAGTTGCCAGGCAAACCATGATCCACGTTCTGTTTCTTCTAGCTTGCAGAAGAAGAATTATAATGAATGGCAATGTCGACAGAACATGGCACCACGCGTTCTTGAATATGTAGCTCAGCTGTTGGCATCACACACACACACAAGGTCAGTTCCGTTTTCGCTTTGCCATGCGCGCTCTCATCTTCGCGCCATCGTTTCGCCATGGAAGTCCAGGCAGTTTTTTTCGGAACGTTTGCAGGGGTTCCTCGTCATTGGATTGGGTTGTAGCCTTTTCGGAATTCGATGAGTAATGATAATGATGGGTAACCATATGTGTATATAATATATTAACACATACACACACACATATATATATATATATTATATTGATATATCCCGTGTAAATAAAGATACACTCGTAGTAAGCAACCGACCCAGGTTCTTCTTCTGAACTTTCATGTTCTTGTGAATAAGTCTGACCTCAAGAAGGGTGGTGCCTTGTTGTGGAGCTTACTGTGGCGCGCCATTTCTCCCACGGTCTTGGAGGAGGAGATACAGAAACAGCGAGTGGAAGATGAACTTCACAAAATGCGGTTGTGGGTCTTCACGCAGAAACTTGGTGCTGGTTTCAATGGTTGGTTAAACATGGTAAAACCATGTAAAACCACCAGGTTTCTTTTTGAAAATTACCAGCAACAGGTGCGGATATGACAGTCAATGCAGTGATGTACCGATAAATCTGTGCTTTTGTTTTTCCCCAGCCGAAAAGGTGGGATGATTGATGACCCACAAACGCTTCCACAACTGTTTTTTTTAAATGTGTTTTTCCTTTTGGGAGCTTGCTTCAGGACAAAAAACAGCCAGGAAAAACAGCTTTGCGATTCACATTGACTTGTTTATGATCCTGCGCATGTGCTGGAAGATTGTGCACCAGTTTGAGGAAGTCACCATCTTTGATGCCTGTGAGAGTGCGGCTCCCTATATGTTCTTCACCTTTTTTCATAGTCTCCAGATGATTGAGATGAAGCATATGTGGAGGGTCTATCAACTCACCGTGTTGAGTACACACACGTTGTTGGCATTTTTCAGGCCCAGTGAGGTCGGCATTGACACTGGAGCAAAATATCAGGTGGTGTCATTGATTGCACTTTCCTCATCCATGCTGGATTCTCGAGTGTCACTACCTTTTTGCTGTCTGGAGGGGCTGGTAAATGTTTACAAGGCTTGGAAATCTTATGGTGACGCTGCGAGCTACACTTCCCTACTGCTGGATGAAGTGGCCATTTGCGGACTTAGTTGCATTTTAGTAGTTGTGATCGAACGCCTTGCTAAGCTACACATTGAGAGTCGGCTGGAATCTGGAGACTATTCATGCAGGCTGACTGGCTTTCGGTCTGTGCTGCGAGGAGTGTCTGATGGAGATATCTTGCTTGCCAACAAGACTTTGGTTGATATGACCTTCCACAAAAGAAGTTTTTCCCGGGACCAATTTTCTCCATTTCCGGGCGACGAGCGCTCTCGGCTTTCGACTTTCTCTCCGATGCCCAGCCGGCGTGGCGGACACCGCCTGTAGGGTCACCCTACAGAGCTCACTTGGGATGTCGATGGATCTGTTTCATGTGAGAGTTGTCTCCCAAAGTGCTTCGGAAGAGGAGAGTTTCTGGATGGATTTGCTGTGATTTTTTTTTCCGAATAAAACATATTTTAAAAAACAAGATTGGGGAATCTACTGGGATTATGCATGATTATGCTTTATTTCCTATGGCCTTCTTAGGCAAATGCAAGTTCTGGATGGATTGTAGCCATACTCTTAGGTCTGGGTGACCTGGGAAACCTGTCAAGGTTTCTTTCATTTGCTGGCTATCAAGCTGGATGCCGATCAGATCGCTATTCCAGATGCCAGAGAGGAGGGGCCTTCACTGAACGATACGGAGCGAGACAGGTACGCCTGTCCTGGTCCTGCATCCTCATCACTTGGCAGTGAAAAGGAACTTGCACTGTCCTACAATAATTTGAGACTGGCCGGTGATTTCAAGTGTTTGTGTATTATCCGATTTTCTTTGAATCTCTACAATTGTTGCCACATGTTCGGGATGATGTTTCAAAACCTCATAAAGCCACTCTTTTTGAGCGCTGGCAGGCTGGAATTGATAGCAACCAGGAAAGAAATCACTCTCTTATTGACCTCCCACTCCTCGATGTGGGACATTGGAGAGGTTCATTTGAAGTATGAGCGCAGCAACTTTTTGGATTGCGGCATGCCCACCCTGAAAAATTTCACGCGACCCAGCGATTGGGAGCGGGTACTTCGAAAGATTCACGAGTCGAAACGCTCTGCCAGCAATGGCGATGGCAAAGCGTATTTCACAAAGCCACTCTGTTTGAGACTGCCAAGTAGTTCGACCAGAGGCTGGGTATGGCACAGTGATTTTTGTTTTGCTTTAACCATCCCCAACTAAGACTAACTAAGACAATAGACCTGGGGATGGCATTGATTTCGAGGAAAGTAGTTTTCCAACCCTTGTTTAGCAGGTCTGTGTCAGTTCGAACACTGAAGATTGTAATGAACATATTTAAATATTTAATTGATATAATCCACCAGGATTTGGCAAATCTGCTCAAAAAGATTGTCACATTTGTTCGATGCCACCCTTTTTCGATCTTTTTCGAACATCCTTTTGATCATCCAAGGACTGGTTGGTGGTTTGGAACATGGCTTTTATTTTCCATATATTGGGAATTGGAAACGTTGGATAATAATCATTTTTTTTCTGGATTGGTTAATATTACTGGTGGTTTGCAACATGAAATTTATGACTTTCCATCAGTTGGGAATTTCATCATCCCAACTGACGAGTTGTCCATCATTTTTCAGAGGGGTAGGTATACCACCAACCACATTACCTACCGGTGGTTACCAGGTAAGGTTCCTCTGTAAACATCTACCAGCCATTCATGTCCCAGGGGTGGCTCAACCATCATCCAAGGATATATGAGGATATATGAGGGCCAAAAAGGTCTCCATTGGACGAGCAAGTGAATCAAGTGAAGTTGCAGCGTCGGTGGAGTTGTTTTGGATGAATTTTCGAGATCTCGATGTGAGTCAAGCGCAAGCCGCCAGAAAACTTGGCGGCATCCACGAGGCAGCTGAAGGATGAGATCGCCGGCAAGATTGGGCACCTAGAGATTGGAGCGACCGACCTGGAAAAAGCTGGGAAATTGCGGTGGGAAATCCAGGGAAAGCTAGTTTATATCTTATTTATCATTCCCGACTTTGGAAGCTATATTTTGGATTGTCCCCATGAGCTGCTGTATCTTTGAAACAACTGTTAGACATCGATGCACATTTTTTCTGCACATCATGAACACGTGTCAATGTTTATGTATAGGCACGTGTATGACCTTGAATCCAGTGAAACATCCGTAGCCGTAGCCATATGTTTTTTTCGATTCGTTACTTATTACTTTGACAAACTAAAAAAAAAATGGTGCTTTCCCATGTGCATTCTCCAGAAATGGCACATAGTAAATCGGTTCATATCGGTTCCATGTGTGTCCCACTAGCAGCACTAGCATGTCAACTGGAAACCTGCATGGAATACCCAGGGTCTGGAAATGTCGGACTGACCGCCATGCCCTGTTGGAAATGACAATTTTGGTTCTCATATACCCACTATATACCCACTAAAAAAAAATATATATAATATATATATATACATATACC